GTGGGCAGTAGGCTGGCCTTCTTCGGCTCTCGTGCATGCTGCCCATACTGCAGCCAGGAAGAATCGGCCACACACTGTTTGATGAGCTGCCCGGCGGTTCAGGGGATCTGCGGCGCGCTTCAAGACTCGCTCCGCCTGATTAATCCATTGAGGGCGGTGGGAACGCTGGGAGAGCTGCTTTTTGCTGAAGACAGCACAGCTTCCGGCTTCCCGGAGTCCACACTTATCGCGGTAACTTTTAGACATACCGTCTAACCCCGGATATAAGCGCCACGGCGCTTATAATAAAACATGATTTTTTTAAGGGTGGCGCTTGTAATTGAATAACGGCCATAAGCGCCGGCGCTTATATCATGGCAAAAATGAATTTGTATTTTTTTTGTATCAAATCGAAGCCCGTAATAAGGCGAACAAGATTGTGTAACGTGCGCGTGGCATCATGCATGAAAACCCGCCGAAAACTGCCGCGCTTCGGTTTCCAGCCGCACAAAGCCCGTCCAGGAGCAGCGCACCTGCCAGCGCTGACTTGAAAGATGCCTTGCGGCCCAATCAGGCGTTCATGCGCTGGGTGGCAGCTGCAATTCACCCGAACCATCTAGAAGCGGCTGGAATGCCCTGCCAGCGCAGCATCGTGCGTGGCGCGATACCCTCCTCTCCGGGTTCAGACAGGGGACACCCGTCTCTCCACGACGAGGACCCCGTGGCGCTAGCCAGAAGGGGTCCCTTTGAATCCTTCATTTGGGCATCCTTTCTTTCAGTTTCCCGTTCTTGGTTCTTGGCCACTCTAGCCATGTTGCGGAAGCCATGGCGGAATTCAGCGGCACGCACTTCTTGTTCAAGAAAAAGCCTACGCGCAAGCCCGCGTTTAGAGTAGACGCAGACGGGTGGTACTCCCGTGTCCCACCATCACCACCAGAGCCACCACAGCCTCCTGCGCCTCCTGCGCCTCCTGCTCCTCCTTCGCCTCCTGCACCTCCTAAGCCTCCTCTTCCTCCTGTTCCCTTGTCTACTAAGGGTCCTGTGCCTCCGCTACACGCTGGAGCTGAGCCCGTGCTCACGCTGCTGCTCCCATCGGCGTTTGACGAATGGATCTCCGAACCAGAGTCTGACAAGGCGCAAGATGAGGAGGTCGAAGTGGAGTACGTGCCTGGTTCACGGTGGGGACAGCCTGACGATTGCCCGTGGGACGAATCTGCAGTCGGCGCCGACGATGATGTTGCTGAGGAAGCTGACGCTGACGGTGAGGAAGCGAGCGGCGCTTACACCGCCGAGGGTGGCACGGAGGCGAGCGCCGGGGGCGGCGCCGAGGGCGGCTCCGCTGAAGATGTTTTTCCAGAAGGCGTTCTCGGCGACGATGCCGACGACGGCGTGGAGTACTGGTCTCGCGACGGGCTTCCCGAGACCTTGCCGATACCTTTTTATCCCCCGATCAATCGCAAGCGACCCCACCCCTCTACCCAGAACCGTGATGCCCGCCCCCCCTCTCCCATGCACAAGCTCACCGACCACAAGAGGAATGGTTACACCGCCGCGGAGAAGTTGAAGTGGGTTGCCAAGCTTGCTTTTGCGGTGTCGGTGCGCCAATTGTCTCGCGAGAGCGGAATCCACCCGAAGTGCCTCACCAACTGGAAGCGGGCGTCTGAATTCCTCAAGGAAGTTCATTCCGCTCGGAAGCGCATGCACGGCCGCGGGCGAGCGTCGTGGTACCGGCCTATGGAGTTGAAGGTGTACGAGAAACTTCTCGAGTGGCGCCGCAAGGGAACCGCCGTATCAGTCGGCCGCCTGCAGGAGTGGTCGCGGGAGTACATGAGGCTGCTGTACCCGGACAAGCCGTGGAAAGGAAGCCAGAGGTGGTCGCAGCGCTTTCGGCGTCGATGGAATCTGAGCGTCCGCATGAAGACCCGGGTTGCCCAGAAAACCGCCGCGCGTAAGAGTTACCCCGTGTACGTTGCCCTGTGATTTTTAAATTGTTGTACTAACACCCGCCATGTGTGTCCGTCCGCCCTTCCACCGCCCTTCAGATGTCGCCGAGCAGTGCCAGAGCTTCTGGAAGTTCGTGCGTGCCAAGCGTCGTGAGCGCGGCATCGACACCGCGTGGATCATCAACGCGGACCAGACACCGCTCTGGCTGGAGATGCCCGCCACCACCACCGTGGATGAAACGGGTGTTCGCTCGGTGCCTATCAAGAGCGCGGGCTATCAGAAGCAGCGTGTGACCGTGATGTTGGCGTGCACGGCGGACGGATTGAAGCTGAAGCCGTGGGCGTACTTCAAGCGCAAGACCGTGCCTAAGGGCAATTTCCCACCCGGTAAGTCAATACGGTAGGTGCACTGCTCGTTAACTGCGCCATGCTTCCGACTGCGAATTCTAACTGGTCGAAAATGATCCCTGCAGATGTGGATGTGGCTGCACAAGAGAACCGGTGGATGGACTCCGCGGGCGTCGTTCGCTGGCTTGAGGAGGGCGTCAAGCCTTTCTTGAAGCCCAAGTTCGGCAGACAAGCCAAGAGCTCGATGCTGGTGCTGGACTCTTACCGCGGTCACCTCACCCAGGAAGTGAAGGACAAGCTCCGCGAGATGAACTGCGTGCCGGCAATCATCCCGTCGGGCTGTACGGCGGAGGTACAGCCGCTAGATGTCTCCATCAACAAGAGCTTTAAAGCGTCGGTCCGCCAGCAGTACCAGAGGTGGTTTGAGGCAGAAGGTCAAGAGCAGCTGACGGCAGCAGGTATGGAATGAGCACGGTTGTGTTTACCCCCCCCCCTCCCCTTGTTTACGGTATCTTTTGTTGTTTGACTAACGGGTTTCCACCGTTCTCCCGTTTTTGTTTCAGGGAATTTGAAGAAGCCGCCTGCGGAGGTCGTCCTGAGGTGGATATCTCAGGCCTGGAAGTCAGTGCCGGCCGAGCTGATAAAGCGATCCTTCCTCACCTGTGGCATCAGCAACGCGCTCGACGGCAGTGAGGACGGCCTCGCCATGGCGCACAGGCGGAGCCAGCTGGCAGCGGAAGTGGATGTCGACGATGACATCATCGCTGATGGTGGGAACAACTGCGAGGAGCCTGAATCTGACGATGAGTAGACTTGTTAGGTAGAAGTGATGTTGCTAGACTTGCTCATTCGGGTCACTGATGTTGTAGCTGCTGTCTAGAAGTGTCATGTAAGTGATTTCAATGTAATTGTTTCTTAAAAGACTTATAATAATTCAAGGGTGGCGCTTATAATAAGTACAGAAATCTCAGGGGGGGCGCTTGTAATCGAGGTCCGGCCATAAGCGCCATGCTCCAGATAGAGGCGCCGGCGCCTATATCCGGGGCGATATGGTATTTGGCTGGAAAGGTGTGACGCGGTCTTCAGGAAGAAAACTTTTGAACCGAAGCGGGTGGCCCGGAAGATAGGGGCAAACTTCAGAAGGCATGTGCGGATCTACAGTGAAGGGTGTGGGAACAGCGGAGGACAGAAGCGAGGTGGGGTCGGAGGTGGCTGGACAAATCTGACAGCTGGCGAGGCAGTGGCGTTGAACCGCATTTGCGATCAAGACGAGAATCTGACGTGGAACAAGGAGTTCAGCTCGATATGGGAGAGACCCAATACCTTCTTTAAGCCGCCGTAAAGGGCTTACAGGGAGAACAGTGTAGACCTTATTAGGTAGACCTGCTTTCTCTCTCCCTCTCAGTTACGAGTGTGGATGTAATGCATTGCATAGTGCGTTATGCAATGAAAAAAAAAATAAAAAAAACATGGTGTGGTGTGGAAATGGAAACCGGTTGGAGTGCACGTGTCCAACAGACACCAACAAGGAGTATTTAATACACATGTGCGGATGATGTTATTCGATATAAATTGACCAGTAAGACAACGTGGATTCGCCAACAAGGCAAGCTCAGTTTTACTGTAGTGTGCTTTCCAACGCACTTTGGCTGGACTCGATTCGAACGGTCTGCTTCGTTGTGACGGACAAAACAGCTGATTGGAGTGCGTAGAGTGGAGTATCCCGTGCCGTGAGTCCTGACGATTTTTGTTCCACCCTCATCAGCCCAACAAGAACGCTTCTGCGCCCCTTGCTCTCTCTTCCACGGCTCGGCAGGTATGGGTCGAGGGTAGAAGGGGGTGTTGGGGGCAGGGGGGGTTGAGGAGTGTCACAACTACACATTTTTCGTCGTTAACTCTAGGATAAATGGTCTGGGGTGCATGTTGTTGTCCGTTTTGGAAGGAAACTGTAACGGTAACGCCTCACAACCCTCTACAACAACCAGGCTGGAAAGATTTTCACACGAAGGATCCGACACGCCCTGACTAAGCACACTACACGCACGTGCTAGAATAAACGAAGACACATTTGCCTACTGCACCAAGCACGAGAAACGTGGTGCTGCTTAGTCGAGGAAATGAATAACATACGCCACGCAAACTTGCAACAACAAAACACACCCACAAAGCGTGACGTAGTGTACTCATTCTACTAAAGCTCTTGCATATGCTGCCCAGCCGTCTGATAAACTCCCATCTCGCCCAAACCAGCAGCTTGCAGCACGGACGGAACCCAACCTCCTGTCCCAAAAAACCGCGACTCCAAGCCATTACCATACCTCGGAGTCCAAACCGAGCCGTTAATACTGGCTGTAGTAGCACTCACTCTGACAGACGGCGACTGTCAGTACTTGGAATGGACGCATCGGAGGAAGGAGAGCCGCCGGCTTTATGCCGCCGAGAAGGTTTCCTATTTATCCCACCCTCAGGAGGAACCTTGAGAGTCAAGTTCAAAGCCCTAAGCGGCCGCTTGTCAACCTCTGCGTTTGTCAACCCGCTTCCTCCCGCAGCAAACCCTTACTACTATCCTTCGATTTCGAGTCGGAAAATTGAGGAGTTTGTAAGCAGCCCGATTAATCCGAAGTGGCCGCCATGTGCGGACGCGACGACACGAGATTGCTTCGGTCGTCTTCGCCAAATTTCGCCAATTTCACCTTCGCGACAGCTTCCGACGGGGAGCGGCGGAACCTGATGATCTCATCATCGGACGCAAGCGCGGAGCCGCGGCCTCTCGCGCCGAAATTCTCCACCAGATGGTCAAGGCTGACGCATGACGTGCTGAGCGCCGGTCGCGCGGCGCCGCCGAGCAGCAGCGCGCCGCGAAGCACGTCGCGGCGGCGGGAGCCCGCGTCGAAGCGCCGCCCGTGCTTCGAGCCGGCGCTTCTGCTGCTTCCGGACGGTTCCGTCCAGATCGTGCCAGTGTGCTCGTACGACGAGTCCGACTCGCTGGCCAAGACCTCTTCTTCCGCACACAGCCAGACTGGGAGTCAGACTCGCCGCACCCTCACTGCTGTGAGGAAGAACAGCAATGGCGCACGAGACCCATCATCTCGCGTCGCGACTTTGACGGAGGACATCCGTTCCGACAATCCAATTGCTGGCGATTCAATTCCCCTCAGTAAACATCATGATGCGAGCCGGAGGGCCACTCGCGTGAGCGACGTGCTTCAGGATCATCCGGGCTGTCAGGTGGGCTCGCTGACGTCATCGCACGGCTGCTTCCTGCGCCCGCAGCACGTGTTAAAGCCCGGCCACGTGTACTTCCTCCAGCCGCCCCTGGCGCTCCCGGCTCCCCATGATCATGGAACCTCATTTTCAGGTCGCGGTGACGATGAGAACTCTGCTGAGATTGAGATGATTTCAGTAACTGCTGCTGCACGCTCAGATGATTCACTTTCCACGCTCTCAACGCTCTCAGCATTCTCCGGTCCACTTTCAACGTTTTCAGCGTCTTCCGGTGCACTCTCAACGCTCTCAGAGGGCACAGCAGGCGTGCAAGACCCACTATTCCTGTCCCCTTTCCCCTCTCCATCCCTCCACCACACTCCCTGTTCCTGCTGTGGGAACAGCGGTCACACTACTACTACCGCCTCTACTGCTACATACTCCCCTCACTCCCTAAACCATGCACACTCCCTCCCACCCTTCGTATCTGCTGCTACGCATACCCCATCCCCATCCCCACTCCCCCCATCATCCCCATCTGCTGACTCGCCACGCCACCCTTCCCGCCCAACCAGAGGCCACAGCTGCACACAACAGAAGTATGCCCCCACTCTCCCTGAGAATCCCAAACACCCCGCCACCGCCACGGCCACCGCCACCGCCGCCCATACCGCCGTCCACACGTTCACGTCTGCTGCCGCCCAGGAGAGCTGCTCTTCGCACCTGATGCACCGTGGCTGGTGTGCTGCGAGTTGCGGTGCAAACCTGGAGCCCTGCACCGCCAGGGCCGGCCAGACTGGAGGTGCTGCGGGTGCCATGGAGAATTACCGGGCCTTATTTGAAGCTCTGGAATCAGCCAACAGCACTCCGGCCAGGAGATTCGGCGGCATCAACACCAGCAGTAACAGCAGCACCACCACCAGCAGCAGCAGCAGCAGCAGCAGCAGCAGCAGCAGCAGCAGCAGCAGCAGCAGCAGCAGCAGCAGCAGCAGCAGCAGCAGCAGCAGCAGCAGCAAGCAGCAGCAGCAGCAGCAGCAGCAGCAGCAGCAGCAGCAGCAGCAGCAGCAGCAGCAGCAGCAGCAGCAGCAGCAGCAGCAGCAGCAGCAGCAGCAGCAGCAGCAGCAGCAGCAGCAGCAGCAGCAGCAGCAGCAGCAGCAGCAGCAGCAGCAGCAGCAGCAGCAGCAGCAGCAGCAGCAGCAGCAGCAGCAGCAGCAGCAGCAGCAGCAGCAGCAGCAGCAGCAGCAGCAGCAGCAGCAGCAGCAGCAGCAGCAGCAGCAGCAGCAGCAGCAGCAGCAGCAGCAGCAGCAGCAGCAGCAGCAGCAGCAGCAGCAGCAGCAGCAGCAGCAGCAGCAGCAGCAGCAGCAGCAGCAGCAGCAGCAGCAGCAGCAGCAGCAGCAGCAGCAGCAGCAGCAGCAGCAGCAGCAGCAGCAGCAGCAGCAGCAGCAGCAGCAGCAGCAGCAGCAGCAGCAGCAGCAGCAGCAGCAGCAGCAGCAGCAGCAGCAGCAGCAGCAGCAGCAGCAGCAGCAGCGTCAGCAGAATCAGCAGCAGTGCTAGCAGCAGCAACCAGCCGATGCATCAGTTAGGTGGGTGCTATGCAGTGGATAAAGTACAGGGAAAAGGCCGCGAGCAAAAAAAACATATACCATTCCGCGTGCGAGGCAGGGCGGTGGTTACTGTGGAGGACGTGGTGTTTGGCCGTGCTGGGCCCACTGGCCTGAACGCACTCAAGTAGATGTATGATGTATCACTTTGCATTGCAAGTTGCAACGCTTCTAACCAGAGTGGCCAATTGCGGGAATTTATGATGACGAGAGGGGGAGCGTGTTGATTCCAGCCTCAGCCGCGATTGTGAGCGTGATAGTAATAGCTTTATGGTTAGATGGCTTGTTAGTTCGACCCTTATCCACTTAGTTTGCTCTTGTTTGATTCGTAGACTTCGCCTGTTGCGTGGAAGCAGCTTCGCTTCATCACCTACATGTGCTTCTGTCAGTCTAGGATGATGGCAGTCACGCAACCTGTTGTGCCAAGTCCCATTGCTCTATGCAGAATATTCTGCTGATGCCTTCCATCTTGTGCTATTACCGTACCCTTCCATATTGCGCTAAAGCCGTCCATCCTACACATCTCGCATCATCAGGTTCCTCTTCACACTCGTCCTCCCTCCCTCACCTCAGCTTGTAATCAACCTCAGGCTCGAATACCGTAATCGACTACCCAATCCACCCAATAAACTCAGTTACAGCGCCGAATGCCCAAGAAATGAGCCATCCCAGACCTGGGCCCGAGAACGATCCGGACCGGAACAACCACAGAATGATATCAATTACCTTCCTCAGTTACCAGTCCTTTCCTCCGCACACTCACTCGCCTCGCGTCCTGCTTCCTCACTCCCCCCCTCCCCAAAAAACACCTTACCCCATGCTAACAGTGCCTTGGTTGCCCCGTCTCTCTTCGCCTCCTCCAGTGTTGGCCCCATGCCTGTGCCCATCCTCCTCCCTGCTGCATACACTCGCACTCGCTCCGTCACGTGGGGTGTGTGCGGGTTGTCTGTCCCTGTGTGCCTGTTTGGGTGAGAAAAAGTGTTCATGGGAGGGCATGAGGGGGCGAGGGGAAGATGGGGGGGTAGGTGGTTCAAACAACACTGACTGAGAGACAGGGAGAGGGCGTGATCGAGGACCCATGAGTAGGGAGGGCTCTCGAGGACTCTCGAGCAGGGAGGGCCCCATGCCTGTGCCCATCCTCCTCCCCGCCGCATACACTCGCACTCGCTCCGTCACGTGGGGTGTGTGCGGGTTGTCTGTCCCTGTGTGCCTGTTTGGGTGAGAAAGGTGTTCATGGGAGGGGGTGAGGGGGCGAGTGGGTGAGGGGGCGAGGGGGAAATGGGGGGGTAGGTGGTTCAAAAAACACTGACTGAGAGAAAGGGAGAGGGCGTGATAGAGGAGCGAGGACTCTCGAGCAGGGAGGGCCCCATGCCTGTGCCCCATGCCTGAGCAATGAGGGGTGGAGGAGGACAAGGGAGTGAGGGGCCGGAATAGGTGGGGAGCGAGGACTCTCGAGAAGGGACGGCCCCATGCCTGTGCCCATCCTCCTCCCCGCCGCATACACTCGCACTCGCTCCGTCACGTGGGGTGTGTGCGAGTTGTCTGTCCCTGTGTGCCTGTGCTCACACAATGAGGGTTGGAGGGGACAAGAGGTTGAGGGGACGGGGTAGGGAGGGGGAAAGGGAGTGAGGGGCCGGGATAGGGGGGGAGGAAAGGGGGTGAGGGGGCGGGGTAGGGAGGGGGGAAGGGGCTCAATGGGGATTAAGTGGCTCAAGTACCACTGTTTGAGAGACAGGGAGAGGGCTCGATAGAGAAGGAATGGGTATTTTGGAGAAGGGACGGCCCCATGCCAGTGGCCGCCCTCCTCCCCCTGCATACACACACTCTCGCCCTGTCACATGGGGTGTCTGCAGGTTGTCCGTCCCTGTGTGCCTTCTCGCCTTAAGCAAGGTGTTCACATGGTGACGGGCCAGGGCGAAAGAGGGTGAGGGAGCGTGGTGGGTAGGGAACGAAGGGGTGAGTGGGAAAGAGGTTGGGTGGGAGGGGGTGTACTTAGGCGATTCAAACACCAGTGCCTGAGGGAGAATGAGAGGGTCTGCTAGAGTAGGGATGAGCACCCACCCATGGGGCTCGACCTTTGACGCGTCCCGCCCTCACCCTTTTTTCACATGCACAGAGCGGGGGATGGTACAGCCATCACATGGGTGCAGTGCAGACAGAGAGAGATGTGCAGGTTCCCTCAAAACTACTGGTACTGCGGGACTTCTGAGGCGCCTAAAAAATCGTCTCTTGCCTCACGCACTTTGAAGCACTCACTCACACGTACCGGTACTGTGGGACGAGCCCCAGCTGCTGCAGAGACATCTCCTGCAGACGAGCCACGGGGTCACTCAGCTCTGCTGGAGACTCCATTCTCCCCACCGCTGCACCATCGCCCAACCTAACATCTTCCACCTTCATATCGCTGACTCCGTGCTCCTGAATGTGCTGAGACTGCTGCTGCTGTTGATGCTCGGATTCTCGCTCATGCTGCTGCCCAAACTCCAGCTTCCGTGTGTGAGGAGCAGCAGAGCGCGAGTCCACTAGGGAGGGCAGCAGGCGGGTCACAAAGGCTGACGCTGCTTCCAGGCCCTGATGGGGGAAAGGGACAGGGAAGGGGAAGGAAACGGGGGTGAGGAGCAGGGAGGGGGAAGGAGACGGGGGTAAGGGGGCAGGGAAGGGGAAGGAAACGGGGGGAAGGGGATGGGGAGGGGGAAGGAGAAGGGAGGAACGGGAGGGGGAGGGGGAAGGAGACGGGGGAAATGGGATGGGGAGGTTGAAGGAGAGGCGGAGGGAAAAAGGGACGGGGAGGCGGAGGGGGTCAGAGAGTGGAAAGGTGTTGGTTAGGGATGGGAATGGATGGAAGGGCAGCATGTGTGTTGAGTGGGTAGATAGATTGTGGGAGTGATGGGCAGGTATGCAATAAGTTGAATGAACGGGCGTTCCGGTGATGTGGGAGGGGCTTCAGTGATGGGAGATGAAACGACCCACCTCCTGATGATGCCCTATCAGCAGTGGTGATAAGCAAGCGGTGCTGCCAGCTTAGAGGAGTTCTTGCTGCGAGGGCGGTGTGTGAGGGAGGTGCGAGGGTGGTGTGGGAGAGGTGTGACGGTAGGTGAGGGTGTGCTAACCTTTTCTGCGTATACAGCACCAACAAGTGCCTCCATTGTGCAAGCTACTAACGAAGACTGCAGAAAAGGGTACAAAATAGGATCACACACAGACACACAGCAGAGAAACAGTCCAAGGTAAGGAAAAGAATTTGTGTTCTTCTCTAAGGAACCTCTGCTTGATTGTATGCTACCACCATCCCAGAGTAGCCCCATACGACACCAGACAGTTCCCTCTCATGGTATCATCACATGCCCACACCCACACCCACACCCACACCCACACCCACACCCACACCCACACCCACACCCACATCCGCACCCGCACCCCCCACCCACACCCACACTCGCACCCGCACGCCCACCCGCCCCCACCCCCACCCCCACCCCCACCAACACCAAACATACCTCCACTTGACCACCCCCCACAGACTCAGCACGCTTGCCCTGCATGAGCAGCGCGTCTGAGAAGCTCAGCATGGCTCCCGGCAGGCCCAAAGCCCCCGCTCCTATGCCCGCTAGACTCCTGTTGCTCACCTAATGCGGTGGGGGGGGCGAGGGATGGGAGGGGAACGGCGGGGGAGCGGGAAAGCATGGTGGGGATAGGGAGCGGGAGGGGAACAGGGTGGAGAGGGGTAAACGTTATGTAGGGGGAGAGAAGTGGGGTAGTGGGAGGGGGACGTTATGTGAGTCACTTGTGGGATTTATCATATCAACATGGCTACAAGATGGGACTGTTCTTGGTGGGGGAGATGCGAGGGGGACAGGGCGGGAGTGGGTCATGGTAGGGGGAAGGCAAACAGGAGACGGAATGGGGATGGGATGGGAGGGTGGAAAAAACGTGATGGAGGGATGGGGAAGAGGGGGAGGAGGGGAAAGAGGGTCGGAATGGGGAAGGAGAGCGGGAGAGGCCGGGGGGGACAGAAGGGGGAAAGGGTACAATATAGGACAGAGGAATGGGTAGAGGAATCCACACGCCAGAGACACAAGCTTTCTCAGGACTCGCCTGATGAGGTAGGGGAGTCGTAGGGGTGGAGAGAGTTTGAGAGAGGTGGGGGTGCATCGACATGGGCAAAGCAAGAAGGTGGAATGGGCTGGGGGAGGCGTGCGGAGAGCAGGATTGGTGAGCACGACACGACACGACACGGCGGAAGAGTGGAGGTGGGGGGCGGGACGGGGAGGGAGGGAGGGAGGGAGGGAGGGAGGGAGGGAGGGAGGGAGGGAGGGAGGGAGGGAGGGAGGGAGAGAGGGAGGCGAGCAGGAAGGGCTTTTGAAATTTCTCAAAAGTAAATCCGGTGAAGGCGAGAGAGACATTATTGGCATGGACGAGGAGTCGAGGTGGGGTGGGGGAGGGAGGGAGGCGAGCAGGGAGGGTAGGAAGCAAGGGAGGCGAGAGGGTTAGGGAAGGTGTGCAAGTATGCACGGAATGTAGAGAGGGACTGAAAAGAGGGACCAGGTACGAATGAAGGGAGGGAGTGAAGAGAGGGGAATTGAAAAGAGAGACTACAAGAGCGGGACTTACAAGCTTGTCTTTCCGTGATGTGAGATCACCCTGGTTGGTAGGCATGGCGTGGGTGCGGGGTGGGATGGGAACAAGCGAGTAATTTAAGAACTCCCCGCGGCAGAAGATTCAAATGCTTCGAAAAAGCAGCTGTTCAGGGACCAGAAGTAAGTATGAACAGAAACGAGACGAGAGGAACGAGGCTTTTGCATGCATGCCCGCACGCATGCAAACGACCCCTTAGCCTTGCACGCATCATCAACAACCCTTTGCCCTTCATCGCCCTCTCCCCCTTGACCCAAAAGGTCACCCTCTTCTAGTCCCCTTTCGATTCTCCCCTCCACCCCCTCCCCCCCCCCCCGCCCCCTCCCCTCTCTTCCCAACCTTTCCCCTGCCTCCCTCACGCACACACTGCATGCACAGGGGCGCACCATGGACAGGGGTGGCTGCTGGCGCACCAGGTGCAGAACACACGTGAGCGCCAGCACTGAGTACCCCACCGCCCTCCCCCCCCCAACCTTTCCCCTGTCCCCCTCATGCACACGCTGCACGCACCGAGACGCACCATGGACAGAGGCGGCTGCTGCCGCACTAGGTGCAGCACACATGTGAGCGCTAGCACTGAGTCCCCCACTGCCTCCAGATGTGATCCCCCACCCACCCCCTCCCCCATCATCCCCTCACACACGCACGCACACACCATGGACAGGGGCGGCTGCTGGCGCACCAGGTGCAGCACACATGTGAGCGCTAGCACCGAGTCCCCCACCGCCTCCAGATGCGACCGCAGCTGCAGTGATTGAGGGGCGGGGGGGGAGTGGACGAGAGGATTCGCATGCGAGTAGTGGTACCGGCGGGACTCACGTGGCTAGCATACAAATAGATGCAGTGCAATTAGTGGTGATACAGCCTGTGAGAAACGTGAAATTAAAGTGGTGCTAGAGCATGTGAGCGCGCCGGCCATGTTTGAATCACATTTGAGAATCCCCGAAAGTGATTTCCGCATACAAATGGATGAAAATAGTGGTGCTCGAGCCTGTGAGCGCGCTGCCGGCACGGATGAGATTGAGGGAGAGGGGGGGGGGGTGGTGGCAGTCGCGAGGAGTTGTGTCGAATGGAGTTGGAAACTGTTTGAGCCAGCACTGCTTCTTGTGCTGTGATCACACCACAACTGTGTGGCCACACCACAACTGTGTGGCCGATCTCCTTCAGGTGTGTGATTACAGGTGGCGAAGTGAGGCATGGAGCGAGAAGAGAGAGACGGGGGGCACAGAAACGTGTGGAAGATGAGAGCAACAGAGGGAGGCGGATAGAAGGCGGACAGAAGGCGGATAGGGAAAGAGAATGCGAAGGCTGCGAGAAGCACTGGCGGACAGTGGAACCGGACACAAATGGGTACAAGAAGTTTGGGAAAAGGCGGGGGAACTAGGGGGAGTGAGGGTAGGAGGTAGGTAGGTAGGTAGGGGGTGAGCGTCGACGATAAGGCAGGTAAGGAACGTGCATCATGCAATTCCCTCCCCAGCCTCCCCTTTCCCTACTTCCCCATGTCCATTATTTCCCTCCCATCAAACCCACCTTCCCCTCCAAATCCCCTTCCCATCCCTCACCCCCCTTTTGCTCTCCCATCACCCCCCCTTTTCGCCCTTCCTTCATCCCGCCCTTGCTCCCCCTCACCCGGCTGTGGGCTGTGAAGTACGTAATGGGCTCGTGAGGACCAGATGCAGTGCTCCTCTTGCTTTCACCTTCCCTGCTGCCGTCCTCCCTGCTGCCGTCCTCCCTGCTGCCGTCCTCCCTGCCGTCCTGCTGCAGCTGGTTGAGAGTACATTGGGCGCCAGGCATGAGCAGGTAGTAGTACATGTCCTGGGTCTGACGGGATGGGCAGAGGGACGGGAAGAGTGGGATGGGGAGACGGATCGGAAGGGCGGGATGGGGAGAGGGAAGGGAAGAGCAGGATAGGGAGAGGGATGAGAAAAGCGGGATGGGGAGAGGGACGGGAAGAGCGGGATGAAGCAAGAGGGGGATTAGTTCATAAGCTCTTTGGTCTGGAGGAAATGAAAACGGAAACGGGGAAAAGAATGAACCTAAAGGAAACGGAGAAAAGATTGAACCTAAAGGAAACGGAGGAGAGTTAGTGGCACGTAATGGTACATGTCCTGGGTCTTGTGGGATGGAGAGGGTTAAAAAAAAAAAGGATGGTGGGAACGGGGCAAAGAGAGTTAAGCTCCTATGCTCCAAGCATAATCGTGCAGTGGTATGGCAGGCCTGAACAGGCATGGCAGCAGCACTGACCAGACATGGCAGCAGCACTGACCAGGCATGGCAGCAGCACTGACCAGGCATCGCAGCAGCACTGACCAGGCATCGCAGCAACAGGTCAGGGGATAGTTGGACCCCCATCCGATGTGATAGCTCCTGGCAGGACGGACAGCAGCAACACCGAGAGTGACAGCAAGGGAGGGAGGGGCAACGAGAGGAAGAGAGGGAGAGGGAGGGAACGCGACAGCACCACAAGGAAAAGAGCAGAAATGACGGAACAACAGGGAACCAGGTGAGCCTGGTGAAGGGGGTGGGGAGGGAGGACGCTGACAGACTGTGGGAGCACAACAGGTCCGGAGAAGGAGGGTGTGAGGAGCCCCCTAACTCCAGGATACACAAGTGCCATCAGTACCTACCGTTCTTCTCTCGCACTACCGTTTTTTTGTGACGCCTCAAAATTCTTCCCGTGCTATGTACTTTCACCCCCCACCTTTCCCCCACCTTTACCCCACCTTTTCCCCGCGTTTTCCCCTCCTTTCCCCCACCATTTCCCCCCCCATTCACCCCCACCTTCCTCCACACCTTTCCCCCCACCTGCACCTCCCCTCTCCCAACCCTCCCGCGCACCTCTATTCTCTGCCAGCGGCCGGGTGGCAAGGGCAGTCTCTCCGCTATGTTGTCAGGGAGGGACCACCAGACGTCAGGTCTACTTCTGCTGACGTGGAACAGCGAATTCGTGTCGCCACCAGTCGACATCTGATCAAAGGCTTTAGAATGTACGTGTCTCCTGCTGCACTTCCGCTCCTGCCCCTTCGCTTTCCCGCTCCCATAAGCACACTTCGATACTAGGTCACAGGTGGGAAACATCTGGTGGCCTGAAATCGTTGGTGATGTGCCACGTGCCAACATGAATCTAGGGTTTGCGCCTGAACGTGCATTCCTCAAGTATCCTTGGCTGGAACGCGGCTGATCAGGCATCATCCGTAGACACGTCAGCACGCGCTGTTGCCGCGTCACGCTGGCGTCAGGCATCACTCCTGCAGGTGCTGTCAACACAAGGCTCTTGGTTCCTTCCTTCCAGGCTCGTCCGCCAGTCCACACTCTATTTACAATGCATTCGACTGACAGGCCACGAGGTGCGGCCTTATAAAGAATCATTCCGCGCTGATGATAGCGCGTGCACCTGGTTTTTGAACGTGAAAAGACGCCGTCTATATTGGCGAGGAGAGTCGGCAAGAACAGCGAAACCGCTCTTGGCAAGGCCAGACGAAAGCACTTGCTATCCTTGGCTAGAACGCGATGCGTGCACCGGAATGCGGATGCGGATTCGGGGAAGAACACGCGGATTACGTCGCACTCGCTTTGCTAACGGAGCAGTTACTAAGGAGCAATATTTCAGGGTACTGTGGTCATTCACGCGACATGGAGAGGCTGTGACGGATCACGACATAAAGATAAAGAGGTTGGGCCGACGACGCACTTCACGCCAAAGGTCTTCATAGATAAGCCGCCTTATACGGACGGAGCTCATACTTCTGACGAAGCGCGTCGAGGATCTCAGTGCGAAGGTTTCGAGGTTGAAGTGCCGCTGCATGCTCGTAAAGTTTATCAGACATCCCGCTAAGAAGTGTCCCAACTGGATTCCACCTACATTCCGTATGATATAGCCAAGGAAGAAGAAATATGAATTATATTCTGGCACAACCGGGAATTGGCAGAAAGAAGTTTGCCTGGGAGTTACACCTTCTTTAAAACACTCAAAAACCTAAATGGTTTTTTCTTATTCAACTCCCGCTTAAAAAAGGAAATGTTCAACAAATGATGACAAACAATCAAGGTATAAATACATATCATGTGTAGCCTGACTCTTGTTGCAAGTCTTGTGGTGGTGACCTTTCGCCTATATTCGCGTTTCGTCGTCAGCCCTGGAAACCCCGAAGTGTCTCGCGAAATTCCCTGCCAGTACTGGCACCCACCACCACCCTTCCCCTCCCAGCGTCATCGTATTGCACCGACCAACACTGTCAGGCTGCTTGTGCCGTGTCGTGTTGGTTGGCGTGGTTGCACAGTGCTGCAAGGCATGCCATAGAGAATTCCGCTGTGCTTGCCTCGTGCACAACAGGCTTCCATCACAAGCTCAGTTCTCTTGTCTCGTTCTTCGCCTCTGCCTCGATTTCTACGCCTGCTGTGCCTTAGCATTGGCAACTCTCTCAGGGTGGTTGGGTAGTGTCTTGCGAAAACATACTTCCCGGACCCGCCCTGATGCTCCTCCTGACACAGCATCGTTGCCTACGTCATGGCTCCAGTCTAGTCATGTATCGTGTCGCGACACGCAAAGACGAAACAGACCGCGCAACTGCGTGCGCTGCGCCTTCTCTCCTGCGCCCTCCTTGCCACCTTTCCCGTCGCTTGCTTCCACTGGAAGCGTGAATCATGCCTACCTTCCCTCCGCTCCAGTCCGGAGGACCCTCTCCGCTCCGCCTCCGCCGCGGCGCTTTGCGTGGGCGGAGAATTTGCGGCTGGCGGCGAGCGATCGCGCGGCGCTGTCTAAGCCCTCCCCTCCCCTCAGCTGCACAATGCACATCCAAAAAACAAAAGATCCTTCTTGCGCACTCCAGCGCCGCAACTGACGGAGTCGGTGATTCCTCAGACAGGCGACGCCGGGAAGGGTAGTTCTGGGAGGCCCATCTACTGTATCGGGTCACATCACATCACGACTCATCGTCACCCCTTGCATAAAAGCGTATGCACTGCTGGCGTTCCGTAAACGGCTCTACCCACGGGGGAACCTGGATGTACCGTACTGTACCTGTTCTTCCAGCTGCCGCTGCTGCCGACGTGGCAGAGTGGCCCCACCAAGACAGGACGGGTCCGTCGGGTCGAGTCAGCCGGAATACCTGGCGACTCACGTGGCCGATGATTTCTTTCGACAAGGTGCGGATTCGTACTCCCTCCGCTTCGAAAGCCTTCTCTATTGGAAATGGCGTCTCTCTCTCCGGCTCGCCTTCAAGATGCAGCCATTTCGACAATTTTTTTTAATTTCTGAACAATTATCTCGGGAGCTGGTCCGGTTTGAGGAATTATTTGGTAGCTCAAAGAAGCATTCTGTTTGTATCCGCTAGCCCAGTATTGGTTTGCCGGCACCGGATAGAATGACATCGAGCTTGCTTAGTCTCTTAGAGACGAATTAAGACCGTGACTGTGCGCGAGCCGCTGCGTAGGACTACATTCCACCACCCGTGTGATTCCCTTCCTTCTAACAGGGTGATTTTGAGAAGTATCCAGTTTCTCGCACACTCCTGGCAGTCGTTCCAGTCGCCGCTCCGTGTTCGACGCTTTTTCGGGATCGTTTCGTTCCTAAAGGAGCGCCTGCTGCGGTTGGCGTTCCGGCCTTAAATCCGGACGATGGATTTCCCCGCTGCAAACCGCTTCGACATAATCACACCATCGCTGGTCGGCGATTGGCTCCTGACTAAGACTCCGGTTCGTTGCGCGAAGACCTCGACTGGACGTGTCGCCGCCGTTTCTGCCGCCAACTTATCAGCTTCAATTCAGAGACTTTAGTTTCGGTTCGTCTGTCCTTTCAAACGGGAACAGTTACTGCAAGCTGATTGGTTAACATTCGGAAGTCGGATTACGTCTCAACCAGAACCGAGTGTCAATTGCTGACATGGCGGCAGCGGATTCGTTGCCGGATTCGCCTCGATCGTCAGGTGTCTCACCCCGTGTGACGAGCAGCCCGCAGCAGCTGCAGCGGCTTTCTATCACGCCAGCTCATTTCACCCCGGAGGCGCGGGTTCAATTCTCGGCGCGACTTAAAAAACTTGCAGAAGATGTGGATGTGACGGTGGGCTCTGTGGTTGGGCCAATCAGAAAACACTATAGCCCAGGCTGCAGTGGCGGAGAACCTTCTCCAAGAGGTCGTGTGATTATACTGACGGGGACGTCACAGGAGGAGCAGGGCAGTGACCCGGATGCAGGGAATGACTACAGCAGGCATCTTATCCTTGGAATCAAGGCACATTCCGTGGGAGCGACTTGTGAAAGCAAGATCAAGGCGCAATGTGACTGTATCGAAAGGCAGAACTCAGGGGGTCTCAGCCTGAGCAGCATGGCCTTGCTGAGGTTCACCCTCGCTCCTTCCTCCGCTGCCACCCCCTGTACTGTCACTCCTGCCAGCGTCACAGCAGTTACTACTCTCTCTCCTGCTGCTGCTGCCCCTGATGCTTCACCCCTTGGTGCCACTATCTCTGGAGCCACTGCCCTCTCCCAGGCCTCCCGTGCTGCTCCCACTGCACATGTAACTGCTCGTGCCTTCATGCAAGCGGACTCAGACTCAGACTTTATTGGTGAATTCATCCCCACGCCTGCCGTGACACTGTGCGGAGAAGCAGAGGGCGTTGGGAGCAAGGACAGGAGCGCCAGTCTTCCTCCTCCTCCTGCTTCCCCTACTCATTCTCCTGTCGATTTCTTGTCTCTGCTGTCGCCTGCGTCTCCCTCCTCCCGTTCCTCCCTCCACCGAGCACCACTCCTTAGGATACCCGCCCTCAGCCTTCTCACCGCGCTTACTGCTGTCAAATCCATTCCTGCTGCTGCTGCTTCTTCAGCTGCTGCTTCTGCTGCTGCTCCCGGCTGTACCCCCCTCTCCGCCTCTGCCTCTACCTCTGCTCCTGCCCCTCTGTGTGATGCTAGCACCCGAGTGCTGATGGTCCCTGAGGACGATGGCTTCGTCTGGCGCAAGTACGGGCAGAAACTCATCCGAGCCTGCTCACGGCCCAGGCTGTACTTTCGCTGCGGGCAGCCCGGCTGCCCGGCAAGGAAAACCGAGGATCGGGCAGCAGATGGGAAGGTTTTGGGGAGGAAGTACGTGGGTTTGCACAATCATAAACCTCCTACTCCTTCTCCTGCTGCTGTTGCTGCTGCTGCTGCTGTGGCGGCGGCTGCTGCAGCTGCTGCTGCAGACGCTGCAGCTGCGCGGGGCAAGCTGGAAGTACGGGCCGAGCTGGACCAACAGATGGGGGAGATGTGCTCGGGACTGGATGTGCAGGGAGAGGCCCGGCGGGAGCAGTGGGGGATGATGGGAGACGGCCGGCATGAGCGCATGGTGGTGGACGAGGACCAGCAGCAGGAGGACCAGCAGCAGCAAGGGGGGGAGCTGGAGAACTGGCTGCAGCAGCAGCAGCAGCAGCACGAGCAGGAGCGTGAGAAGGAGCAGGAACAGGAGCAGGAGCAGGAGCAACAGGCGTGGGGAGTGTTTGGAATGAGCAGCGAGGTTGAAGGACTCTTTGATCTCTCCCTCTCCGATGCCTTCCTTAATGACGCCCCGACTGATTGTGATTGCAGCAACCACACCAGCATCAGCAACAAAATCTGGCTCCCTGCTGATAAATTTGGGGGAGGTGTATCTGAGGGAACTGTATCTGAGGAAGGGCTCTCCCTGACTGTGTCTGATGAAGCGAGTTGGGGGGAAGCTACTGGTGACTGCAACGAAGGGCAGTTGAGCAGCCCCAGCTGCTCGCTTGCTATGATTGAGTTGCTGCTAATGAGCGATGTCGAGGCCAGCAATAACGAGTACGGGTGGGATGGGGAGTGCCAGGAAATCAGTCAGGGTGCCGAGAATGCCGTAGGGACTGATGACGAACGTGGCTTTGCTGGAGGAGTGGCTGAAAGCAGTGTGACAGTAACGAATGGGGCATTGGCTGTGGGCATGGATGCGCTTCTTAATTCACCGCAACCACGCCCACACCCAACGCACTGTTCACAAGTGCACTGTTCACATCTGCACTGTTCATCACCTGTCTGCCGCCCAGCAAGTCCAGATGGCAGCAGCGGGTTGATCCATGGCAAGTCAGAGCATAAGAGGAAGGGGTCACCGTGTGGGGGAGCAGACGGAGGGGAGGAGGGGCCCTTGGATGCACGGGCCTGCTGCAAATACGAGGCGCCAACATCAGTCAAGCAGCAGTACGTGGTCCTCTCCTCTGCTCTTGATCTCGTGCTTTCACCATCGCGGCTGCATTGATCTGTGCTACGTGGATGTGCTCTGCTCTGCTCTGTGCCAAACGGACTCGACTCGTAGATGAAGCAATTGTACCGTTCTTGCTTGCTTGCGTTCTCAGCTATCACACACACTTCGCATGCCCCCCTCCCTTCCTTTCTTCCCCTCCTTTCCGTTCGTTTCCTATCCTACCAGTCGCACCACTTCTGGCCCAACCAGCCCTACTCAAAGGACAGCTACCATCTCAGGCCGAGCAGCAGCTTTCTCTCCTCCTCGTGTCACTCCAGGCGGATCCCCAGGCGTTTCTTCAGGTGCCGCAGCAGGCAGACCGTCAGGTGTGCGCATGGTGTGCGCGCAGCAGGTGGTGGAGGAGCCGAGGGTGGTGGTGGCGGTGCGTAGCGATGCTGACGTGGTGGATGATGGTTACCACTGGCGCAAATACGGACACAAGCTGGTCGGCGGTAACACCTTCCCCAGGTACAGCCTCCCCGGTCCTTTCCCCGCGTATAGCCTTGCCCTATCCTTCCCGAATTCCCACCTCACCAATGCTGTCTCCTCCCCTTGTGTCTCTCACACTCTGTGCGCCCTGGCGTTCTGGCTGAATTTAATCTGACCAACTCATTGGTGTGTGCTACTTGTTGTTGCTCCTATGTGCTTGTGCTTGTATTGCAGGAGCTACTATCGGTGCACGAGCGGGGACTGCCGAGTGCGCAAGCAGGTGGAGCGCTCCAAGCAGGACCCATCTGTGGTGGTAACCACCTGTGAAGGACGGCACAACCACTTAGCACCTGGACCAATCCTGTGCCTTCCCCAGTCACTGTAGCTGGTGCTACACTGCCTTTTCAACCATCTGTCCCAACCTTATCCTTGTCTGTTTGTTGTGTGGGGAAGTGGGGGGTTGTCACTTTTTTTACTTGCTTGATTTCTCTTCTACTATGTAGGTTGTTCCAAGTGCCAACGCAAGCCTTGCAAGACCATAGGTTGTGGTGTTCGGGGCTTGCCATGGCAGTTGGAACAACAGTGATTTAGCATGGGAAGTCGGTTAGAGGATCCTTGTTATCAGCCAAGAAGCGAGCCCAGAACATGGACTGAAAATAAGAGTGCCGAGGTTGGATGTTCTGGTTTCGCTTTTTGGTTCTGATTAATAAAATGGTTTATTATACTGCTTGCCTACAGCATCATGTACTGTAAGGACATTTTATGTGAATACGGAAAGGCAATATAAATGAAAAGAGATCGGAGCAATAAGGATCAATGACATCAGATGGTCACCCCAGCATTTTCTTTGTCGTCAATATCTCTCAAGTGGTGCCGTGATTCTGCTTTGTTCGGATCGGGCTGGAAACGAGGACAAACAGCCCACTCGTTTCCTCGGCAGATGACGCAGGTGCTTCTGGTGAAACACCCAGCGGCGGTTGTCAGAGGTTTGGCCTGTTCGGGCGGGGTCAAAAACTTCAGTTCATTGATTTCCTCGTCTAGCTGGAAATTCGCTCTACGACCGTTCTGGATTAGGCAGAGCTCGTATCGCTCCACATCCACGTAGTTAGCTCAATTGCAACGAGGAGTATAGACTTCCGTCTCATAGCCTCTTTGAACTCGTTTAGGCCAAGATGTTGGATCGAACCAGGGTCCAACGAGAGCTCGTCGAAATTAGACGGGATCCTGAGTCGGGGGTGACTGTGGATGTTCCAGGAGATGATCTCGCTCGAATGAGCGGGACTATAATGGGGCCTGTCGGAACGCCTTATGAAGGAGGAACGTTTCTGGTGGATATAGTACTTACAGGTACGGTGTACTCCGCTCGTGCAACGATTCCCGAGGCCTTTGTCGACCCACTCACATACCCGGAATTCTGACTTACTTTGCTCTGTTCAGAGTCGTACCCTTTCAAGCCTCCAAAGATGACCTTCATTACCAAGGTCTGGTGCGTACCAAAACCAAAGATTCTCGTCAGTATCTCTTCATGCAGTTGTGGAAACTGAAGGCATGACAGATTCTTCGTTTGGCAGGCACCCTAATGTCAGCAGCCAAAACGGTGCGATTTGTTTGGATATTTTGAAAGACCAGTGGACTCCTGCCTTGACGCTCAAAACGGCTCTACTGTCACTCCAAGCGCTGTTATCATCACCTGAACCTGATGACCCTCAAGATGCAATCGTCGCTCAACAGGTAGTAGTGTTAATTTTCTGAAGGGGAAGAGGCAGTGGGACGGGTAACTGGGGGGATGGTGTTACTAGCATCTGGTAGGTGCGGCTTGGTTCGGATGGTATCTGACAGGAAACTCTCTTTTCTCCTTCTGCAGTATTTGAAGGATTATCAAACGTTTGTCAACACTGCACGGTACTGGACAGAGGCGTTTGCCAAGAGACCATCCTTGGCTCTAGATGACAAGGTCTGTCTCAGTTGCTTTTTGAGCTGGCTCACATTGTGCCGGAGTCCTGTTCTGCATCATGCTGCATGTTATCTGAATAATCAAAGAAAGCTTAACATATTCTGCAATGGTTCTTGCAGGTGAAGAAGCTGGTGGAGATGGGCTTTGCAGAGGCGTCTGCTAGGTCGGCTTTGGAAAAGTGTGGAGGTGACGAGAATGCAGCTTTGGAGAAGCTATGTAGCTGATTTTGAACATTCAAACTGTAGCTCAAAATAGGTTATGAACTCATCAATACAAAATATTTAAATATGTGCTTCTGAAATATTACTTCACTCCATAGTAGTTGGTACGTCAACCGCTACTTCTGGAACAATTATCGCATTGCATCGCAACCAACAGTTTCTACCAGTATCGTGCTCTTCACGCGTAGTCGCTTTTTCACAAATTCCGTTCCCGTTTTGAAGCACAACTAGACTTCCAGCTATCAATACCTCTGTCTGCGCGCAGCTGGAAGATCTGCTCATGTCCATTCAAGGTCTGTCGCGAATCGCCTCTATCAGGCACGCGAGGCGAGCTCTGCGCGCCGGTTGCTGCTTGCCGAGAGGCGTCGATCCCTCTGCGTCAACTGCTCTGATCACACCGACGCCTTCGCAACGCCATTTCCTCACAGCTCCCGTTAGCGCTACTGACGTTGCGTCACGAAACAGGTACCAAGAATCAGAGGGGTTCGGGGGTCAGTCTATTGACGGACATGATAGTCTGCGAAACAGACGGCCGTTATCAAGCCCACGCGACCAGAAATTGACATCATCGTCGGTTGCGTCTCACATAGATCCATCCTCGTTTGAAGTCGATTGGAGCGCAATTTCGTTAAGAGGCCTTCATCACACCTTCGTCAATCTGTTAGCGGTTTCATTCTGCCGGAACCTCCCCCGAATCCATCCAGCACCAGCTCCGATGCTCGTCGGCGTTCCCGTCGCCGAACCCACGCCCCCAGTCTGTTCGAGGAAATCAGGAACCAATGGCGGCGCGCCAGCTGGCATGTGGACGAGCTGTACGGGCAGAGGCCATCGGGTGTTGCTTCGGTTGGTGGCAGTCGAGGTTCTGTTGACTCTCAAGGCAGGTGGGACGGGAGGGGTGTGGGCGTGAATCGGTTCCTGATTCGCGGGATTATCTACGACATGCCCGCTTTGATGGTGTTCGATCAAGACCTTGGGAGTGGAAAAACCAGAGACAGTGCAGCAGGTGTGCAAAGGCGCGTGGGAAACGCCGCGTCCAATGGTGGAAATGCTGTGTCAGGCGACGATGCGAGGCAAGGGTTGTCTGCCTTTGAACAAGAGAAGCTTGAACGAGCTGAGTTGGCAGCACGCGATTGGGAGAAATTTCTACTGAGCAGCCCCAGGAGGCGACGGCACATTCCTGGAGTGAATGACGGCAGTGCGACTGCCACTAGCGGTGGTGGTGCTCATTCAGCTACACGTGCTGCAGGTGGTCGGTCAACAGCAGCGGGCATGCCATCCTCATCAGCTGTCACTCAGGGGATCTCATTGGACGGGATGGCAGAAAGCATGGGGCTCCCCACTTCAGCTCGAACCAGCCTAAAGCGCAGCACCAGTGGCAGCTCCAGCTCCAGCATCAGCATCAACAGCATCAGCAACAGCATTAGCAGCGCTAGCAGCAGCGCTAGCAGCAGCAGCAGTTCTAGCAGCCGCCAGCCAGCAACTCCCGCTCCTCTGGGCGGCGCTCCTCTGCAGTTTAGAGGAGGCACGAACTCCAGAATGAGAGGCAGGGGAAGCAGCGCAGACCAGCGGCTGGAGGAGCTGTTGGCGGGGGGGACAGGCGGGGGCGTGCGTGCCAAGTATGCTGCTCGGCTGCAGGAGAAGAAAATGCTTGCTGAGGCCCGCAGGGAGCAGCAGGGCGGCGGGTTCGGCCGGGCGGCTGCTGCTGTTAACTCTGCTGCCGCTGCTGCCAGCACCGCTGCTGCCGCTGCTCGTGCGGCGAGATTGAGAGCGGTGAAGGGAGGAGGAGACGGGGGGCTTGTGGGGGGAACGGGAGAAGGGGCGTTGCCTGGGTTTGGCAGGGCTGAGGGGAGCAGAGGATGGGTGGTAGCTCCTGGGTCTGCAAGACTGCTCCGGCATTTCCAGGTGAGGTTTCGGGGGTTTGTTGAACAGCGGTGGCGCGTTTGGTGAGATAGCTGATATAGGAGGGGCATTGAGACATTACATTGGAGGAAACCAGTTATGGTGATGTTGGCAGCTGCCGTATCTCTAAAACTGTTGCACTGAGACGTTTTCAGAGCAGTAAGTTCTCCATGCGTGTGTGTGTGTGTTGCTTCCCTGCCATTGTGCCCCCATGGCTGCAGTCCCGCACTCTGAAGCAGGCGCTGGTAACCACCCACCCGCGCCTGGACGTGCTCCTTCTCAACGACCAGCTTGGCAACTTCTCCTTTGACTCTCACATCGATTCCACTGCAGCAGCCGCCACCGCCACTGTTGCTGCTCCTTCTGCCTCCGCTGCCCCGTCTCACTCAACTCCGACTTCTTCAGCCCCTCCATCTGAGTCTCGTTCACCCTCAGATGCATCGAAATCAGCTGCTGCAGAGTCAGGACGCACATTAGGAGACAAACCAGAATTACCACCGACAGCAGCAGTGTCAGGCATTGACTCACTGGAGGCTGCCAGAAAGAGGTAAGGGATTCGGAAACCTTGCAAAAGCTAGGCCCCCTTTTTTACATTTTTTCCTTGGTATTGTTGCTGAGGTGGGCAACGTCTCACACTCTCAGTTACGATTGCGAGTGTACTGCATCCCTACGAGTGTGTGCATGGGAGAAAAGAATAACAAAACGTCACAGTCACCTCTGCTGGTTCTTTCTCAACCTGTTGTGTGCAGAGTGGATGAGTTTGTTGAAACCTGCAAGAAGTGGAATTTGAAGCCATCGCAAGTCCTTGTGGTGAGTGTTGACAGCTTGTTGACTCCGCTCCTTCCACTAGTTGTCTTCCTTGACCTAGCCACGGCTTTCCACCCTCAGTTTCCCAACAGTGGCTTTGCCGTGCTGTTTGTTTATTGTTCGTTCTTGTTTTTGCATTTTGCGTTTTGCCTCCTTGATTTCCTTCAGGTGCTTGGCTCCGGACCCACCTCATCGTTCCTCTCCCAAGTTTTGCAAGACAGTTCTTTCTTCATCTGTCAAATGACCACAAACTCATTAGCTACTGATGCTGGACCTCCTCCTGCAGTCCAGTCCCATTCCAGCCTCAAATCTTTCAAACAAGGTGACAGTGTTGAAGCCAGGGATGCTGAAAAGCAGCTTAAGAGCGCCACGGTTGGAAATAGCGCTGGCAATGGAAATGCCTCTATGGAGTCCCCAAGTGTATCAGCTCAGGGCACTGCTGGATGGGCTGCATGGTGGAAGCAGCTGTCTGAGGGGACATTGCACAAGGATGGAATGCGAGCTGGTGATGTGCGAGTGGATGGGGAGCGGATACAGGTTGCTGACTGGCTGCAGGCTAGTGCTAGATTCAAGGCTGCAGACATGGTGGAGTTGAAGGGAGTGGTGGAGGAGCTGAATGGAGTGTCGTTCAGGAGCAGCACGTTCGTCCATGCGCAAGGGAGAATCTAGAACCTGGTTCGTCTAAGGGCGTGTTCCTACGCCACCTATCAGACACCTCTTGTCAAAGCTCTGTTCTGTGGTTCAACGCGTTTCAGTGCAACCGAATTTGATTATGTGCAATTCAGTGCGGTCGGACGCGAATCCGACAAGAGGTTCGCCTAGTAAGAGGCCGTAGGAACACGCCCGTGTCTGCTTGCATTGGGCATATTTGTTCGGCATGCTGGCGACTTAGCATTCTAGCATGTATGTAAAATGAGGAGAAATATGCTGTTTTAAAAGGTAAACCGCATATCAACGAGGAGAAATATGCTGTTCCATGGCGTTTTTTTTATATATATATATTTTACGTGTTGTTTTGTTTCTAACTTACTCACACTGGGTGTACACATGCTCAATATTCACAGTTAGTGTCCAGGTACTGTGCATGTCGGTCCTTCTCTTGATCCAGTGAACCGAGTCACAGTGCTTCAGCCTCGTACCCAATTCACTGAATCAAACCTCCAAGCCCAGGCACTAAGAGGATTGTTGACCATCTTGAGACGTGCGAGACAAGACGAAGCTTTGCTCGTGCTGATTGGCGACACGCAAAAATATCTCCTGGTTTCAGATTCGTTACAGTGCAAAAACGTCGGCACCAACCAACCAATTCGCCGTCGTCGCACAGACAGCGCTTTTGGTAGCCCACCACCAATCGGAGCGCACCAACTCTGTTATCAGAACTTCGCCACTTCACCCTACGAGCAGCGCACTTTCAGAACCGTATGTTTCCAGCAAACCACAGCCAGATGAATCGCATCCGTTTCCCGCGACCAGCTCTCCTGAACCTACCACTTCGGACCAATCCCTATAAAGAGCAAACACTGCGGGAAACCACACTCTTCCAATCGAAACCATTCCCAAGGGTGCTCTCAACTGCTCAGCTGCCCAAAGCTCCTCTTCTTGCCGTGCAACCTTTGCACCGCACTGCACTTCACGTCACGACTGCCCGTCACTCTCCTCGCGTAAAACCCTGACCTGGAGGACTCATTTTCATTTTCACATTCTCGAGATTTCGTCAAGAGCTTTTCTCATTGGGAGTTGCCGTTTCTGCTAGACAGGTCATCCTTATCCCCAGGCTGCGGTTGTTCTCCTTGCTGCGCTGGCCGAACGTCGTTCCGAATTGACAGATTCGAACTGAGCCACTGATTCACATGCTCTGACGCTGCTCGAGTTCCATCCTCAACGTCCTTCTCTCAGTATATCATCTTGGCAGATTTCTGCGACTGCTTCACCAGAACTGACCATTTTTTGCTTCCAGCTTGCCAGTAGAGGATTTACTCGCGGTACCTACGGCTCTTCGTGGGCCAGATTCTTCGGCTTCTAAGTCTTAGACTGTGACTCGTTGCTTTTTCTGTTGAAGGATGGCCGCTCTCGCGCGTCAAGTCGACGTTGCCACCACCTCTCGTCTCGATTTCGAGTCCGACGTCCCAGTGTTCTTGGCGACGCGCAAAGCGCTCTTCCCCAGGCCTCCTTCTCCCACACGAGTCCTCTCTAATCCCGACCTCGCCGACAGTATCTCCCGAGTCCCGTCCGCGCGTATCCTTTCCGCCGCGTGGAAATCTCAAATGACCGATTCCATCGCCACGTGGCAATCCTGGGAGCTGCCAGTTCCTTCCGACCACAGCTTCTGGTCTCAAGGCGCAGCAGCTGCAGCTGATTATGCTGACGTGGCAAAGCTGCAGACCCTCCGCTGCGCGGACGCGGGCTGGGCTCCGTCGCTCCTCGCCATGCTCGCCGTGCAGCCGCCGTCCGGCGCGGCGTGCAACTTAATTTCCCGACAGCTGCACCCGCTGCTGCTCTGGGACGACTGGATGAAGCGTCACGGCTCCCCAGACGAGTTTACTGCCTTGGCGTCCGCGTTTGGCGCTCAGGAGAAGCAGCTCTCCGTGACGTCGCCGACTTTTGGCGACGAACAGCAAGCGACGGTTGGCGACGATTCGTTGGCGTTTCCGAAAAGACTTGACGCGAAGTTTCCTCTGAAGCAGAAGGCCTTCTGCGACTCGCTATCCGCGCTTCGGAAGGAAGCCGCGGGTTCCGGCAAGTTCTGGCTGGCACGGTATTTACGCAGTCTGCAGCAGTACGCGCTCGTCGGCTTGCCGCTTCACCAGGCGGTTAAGCGGCAAGCAGCAGCCGGCGACAGCCCCTCCCTTGATGACTATCTCCTGTACCGCGCCGCCACCTCCCCCGCAACTCCCGCCGCGTTTCTCGCCGCCGCGTCTCGCAATCTCCCTCCCGTGTCTGACAGCACGCTCGAGTCGCTCGTCCTCCCGCTCCTCTGCGTTGGCTCCGCGTTTTCCGCTCTGAAAGGCGACTCGCTGCTGGAGCGGCGGCGCCGGTTGCACGAATCCGCGTCGCTACCAGCATCGCTTCTATTCGACGCCGAAACCGGTTCATTGCTTCTAGACACCCTCGAGGCGGCTTTCGTTCAGATGGCGGCGAAGGTCGAGAAGGCGGCGAAGCAGCTGGTTCCGGCGTCGGAACGAGTCGCGGTTTCCTCGTTCGTGCGGCTTCTCAGAAGCGTCGTCCACGGCGTGAGCCTATGGCAGGGCGCCGCGTGGCGGTTCCGGGACCTGACTGCTGCTCCTGCAGGCGCTTCAGTTGAAATCTTGTCCGAGAGCGCCGTATATGCTAGCGAGTCGGATTCTGATAGCGAGGATGAGTGGGGTAGCAACGGAAGCCGCCGCAGCAGCCTGAGCAGCATGAGCAGCAGTGGCAGCTTGAGTGGCGCAGAGGTTCCTCAGTGGATTCTGGAGCAGATTGAAGCAGCCTCGGCACGCTTCGCTGCCCAATGAGCCAAGAAAAGGGATAACCCCTCTCAAGGGTTGTTCATTCCACACAATTCTCCTTCGTTCTGACTCGTTCCTGTATCGGGGGGAATGGTAGCTGGTCAGCTCAAGCTGCGAAGCTGCTACTGTATGGATTGATGCATGACCCATGAGCTGTGGGGCTGGCACAGGTGCGGAGTGCTTCTGCCTGGTCGGTTACCCTACCAGATGAGAGAGCATGGTTGGCGTTACTGCCTCTCGTCAAGATTCAAGGATCATTATTGAGGATTGCTAGAGGATCTTTAGTGAGGCTGAGGGGTGCATGCCTGCATGCATGCTACTGACTGGCCTTCAGTTTTGATGTCACTTATCTAGTTTTGTTGTACATATTAAAGTTTTTGACAAATTTGGTTTTCTATATCTTCCTGGGCCCACTTGAACAAAGGAATGAAGAACCATCCAGGCATGGCTGATCTAGCTTTGCCACTGAATAAAGAGTTTTCCATGCCACGTGCTGTGCCTCAGGATTCAGCTGTGCCTTAGGATTCTGCTGTGCCTCAGTCCCAGCTGCCCTTGTTGCGTCTGTCTGACTTCTTACTGGACTTGAGCTTCTTGTCCTGTAGCCGCCTCTCATTCTCTGCCTTGGCTCTGCATGCACCCCGCCAGAATGAAAGAGATGCAGCCAGGTCAACAGAATATGTGAATTAGCACAATGTTGAAGCATTATGTTTAAGCACAAAAATGCTTAAAGAATGTGCCATATGGGACACTCACAGCTTCTTGATGCGGGCCTTTTTCTCCTCTGATGGTGGTGGGGGGACGTAGCCCGCTGCATCGATGATTTTCTGCAACACATGGACAGAGCGACCAAGCATGGCAATGGCAATGGCAGCAGCAAGTTTGGTGATGGTCATGATGATGTTTATAATGATGGTGATGGTGATGGTGATGGTGATGGTGATGGTGATGGTGATGGTGATGGTGATGGTGATGGTGCTGGTGCTGGTGATGGTGATGGTGCTGGTGCTGGTGATGGTGATGGTGCTGGTGATGGTGATGGTGCTGGTGATGGTGCTGGTGATGGTGATGGTGCTGGTGATGGTATAATGATGGTGACGGTGATGGTGAGTCATGACGTGCACTGCAGCTCTCTTGGGTCTTGAAAAGTTGAGCTCAAATCTACGATTCTAACGAGAGAGTGGTAGGATGAGCAGAGAAATGCTGAGGGAGGCAAACAAAGAGGCGGCTTGATGGACTGCTGCAAGCAAATCACCTGAAGGAGTGGATCACCTGAAACTCCTGTCACTCCACCTGGGCTTCTGCTTTTTGTACCTGAAGCTTTGCAAGCGCATCTTCAATGTTGCCCCTGGGTCGGAGCAGGGAGAGACAGAGACAGGATGGAACAAGAAGCGTGGGATGGCGAGAGAAGGGAAGGGCGGAAAGACCAAAGGAGGGCGGAGAGAGAAGAGGAGGACGGAGAGAGAGTGAGCAGCATGAAAGGCGCGCCTATGGGCAATGCATTCATCTGACTACACACACGGCTATGGGCAGGCGACATACTTCTGGGTTCCTGTGCACATGGACGATACTACAATCTCCCCATCACTGTTCACCCGAACTGACCTCTCCCCATCACTGTTCACCCGAGCTGACCTTTGAGTAGAAAAAACATTGCCCCCACATTTATAACCAGGCAACATACTTTTGGTTTCTCGTGCGCGTGGATGATACCACAATCTCCCCATCACTGTTGACCCGATTCTTCTCCTGCCGTTGAGGGCAGCACATGCATGTCGATAGTGGGAGTGCAATGAGCTGCTGAAAAGAAAACACATATGGTGCATGGCATGGGATGGTGGTGCATGGCATGGGATGGTGGTGCATGGCATGGGATGGTGGTGCATGGCATGGGATGGTGGTGCATGGCATGGGATGATGGTGCATGGCATGGGATGATGGTGCATGTCATGGGATAATAGTGCATGTCATGGGATAATAGTGCATGTCATCATAAGCTCAAACCCGAAGACGAAGCCACATGGCATTGAATTTGAAGTGCCCCTGTAACCAATCACGAGCAGCACTCACCTGCTCGAGAATCTTCCATCTTATCCGTTCGGGCAGCCAATCAGCATCGAGCATGTTGAATCGCATGTCCACCTTGGTGTTCACTGGCGTGAGGGGGGCGAGAGGACGGTGAGCGGGGTGAGAGAGGCGAGAGGGGCGAGAGGGGTGAGAGGGGTGAGAGGGGTGAGGGGTGAGAGAGGCGAGAGGGTGAGAGGGGTGAGAGGGAGGGTAGAGCGAGGAGGGATGGAGGAGGGAGTGAGAAGGGAGTGAGGAGAGAGAGAGGAGAGAGAAAAAGGGAAAGGAGAGCGTGAGGATAGAGAAAGGAGGGTGAGGGTTGAAGCATGTGGTAAAGAACAGGAGGCCGAGGGAGGGCAGCAGAGGGAGTATAGCGTTCAGGGTTTAGGTGATGGGAAGTGGAATGAGTGCGGTGTGGTCCGGTCAGGTACGTTCAGAGAAAGGTATACAGCAAGCCTTCTCAAACGGAGAGCATGGCTTGGCATGAAGGGGCTTGTGAGTGTGGGAGGGAGGAGGTGTGCAGCATGGTTCAGGGAGGAAGCAAGGGCTTGGTGTACTCGTTACAAGATCAAGACCCACGTTTATTGACGTTCTGCCCTCCGGGCCCTCCGCTGCGTGCGAAGCTGAGCGTCACCTTGTCTGGGTGGGAGGGGTGGGAGGGGAGGGAAGGGTGGGGTGGGATGGGTTGGGTGGGTGGGGTGGAAGGGCGGGTGGGTTCGAAAGGGTGGATGGGTGGAAGGTGTGGGATGCGGGACCATAGCCCATAACCCATGGCTCATGGTTGATGGCCCACTCACTGACCCCACTCACTGATCCCACTCACTGACCCCACTCACTGATCCCACTCACTGACCCCACTCACTGACCCCACTCACTGACCCCACTCACTGACCCCACTCACTGACCCCACTCACTGACCCCACTCACTGACCCCACTCACTGACCCCACTCACTGACCCCACTCACTGACCCCACTCACTGACCCCACTCACTGACCCCACTCACTGACCCCACTCACTGACCCCACTCACTGACCCCACTCACTGACCCACTCACTGACCCCACTCACTGATCCCACTCACTGACCCCACTCACTGACCCCACTCACTGACCCCACTCACTGACCCCACTCACTGACCCCACTCACTCACCCCACTCACTCACCCCACTCACTGACCCCACTCACTGACCCCACTCACTGACCCCACTCACTGACCCCACTCACTGACCCCACTCACTGACCCCACTCACTGACCCCACTCACTGACCCCACTCACTGACCCCACTCACTCACCCCACTCACTGACCCCACTCACTGACCCCACTCACTGACCCCACTCACTGACCCCACTCACTGACCCCACTCACTGACCCCACTCACTGACCCCACTCACTGACCCCACTCACTGACCCCACTCACTGACCCCACTCACTGACCCCACTCACTGACCCCACTCACTGACCCCACTCACTGACCCCACTCACTGACCCCACTCACTGACCCCACTCACTGACCCCACTCACTGACCCCACTCACTGACCCCACTCACTGACCCCACTCACTGACCCCACTCACTGACCCCACTCACTGACCCCACTCACTCACCCCACTCACTGACCCCACTCACTCACCCCACTCACTGACCCCACTCACTGACCCCACTCACTGACCCCACTCACTGACCCCACTCACTGTCCCCACTCACTGACCCCACTCACTGACCCCACTCACTGACCCCACTCACTGACCCCACTCACTGACCCCACTCACTGTGACCTCCCCCGCAATGACCACACAAGCTCACCTTCAGTGATGCGAGGGATGGGCCCATCGTCCTCCACAGCCGCCTCCGCCTCCCTCGCCTGCAGAAACTCCGCCTTCACCGCCATCCTCGCTGGCAGCCGCGCCTTGCCGCCCGACCTGCTGCCCCTGCTGACGTCATCCTCCGTGTCTGAGCCGCTCCCACTGCTGGTGGAGTACTCGCTAGAGGGGGACGCGTTACAGGAGACGAGGCACTGGTTGTGACTGGAACGGATAAGGGGGGAAAGTGAGGGGAGGAAGGGGTGGAGGAAGGGGGGGAGGAAGGGGGGGAGGAAGGGGGGGAGGAAGGGGACGGGGTGGAGGAGTCATGGAAATGAAGGAAGTGCAGTGCTTGATTGTAACGGCGCGGACACCACGAGGAGTACGCATTGCGTGAGATGAGGCAGTGGTTGTGATTGCAACGGGGAGTGATGAGAAGCATGCGTATGGTGTGATTCTATCGATATGACCACCACGAGGAGGACTCGGGGACCAGAAAAATGGACGCGGGGAAGGGAGGGCAGCAAAAAAGGCGAGCACAAGATGCTGCCACGAAAGAGACCATCTTGATTTAAAGTCGCACCTGGCGTGTTCCGTCAATCGCGCGGCACTGGTCCCCCACGCAACGCCGCGCGGTTGGAACGACGGCTGATGCTGCTGCTGCAAGTGCTCGTAGGACGACGAGCCAGACGCGTGCACGGAACAGAGAGCGGCGCGAGCCTGAAATTCGGACCGTTGCGCGTGACATTGCGACCGAGCGGCGGGAAATTGAGCCGTTGACGCGATGGCAGCCCGCTGCGATAGTAGCAGCTGCCATTGCTCACGGCGGTAGCAGGATTTGTGGGTGATTGTACGCGGGAAAACCTTGGGCAGGCTAATGACGACGCGCCACGTCGACGACGTCGCCATTATGGATTGGGTACGCGGTCCGAATCCTAGTTCCAGAAAGGACTGCTCGAAAAAAGCTGTAAGTGGATGACACAAAGGCGGCCGAAGAAGTAACGCGAGGAAAATGACGAGAGGAGTGTAAGTTCCTGACAAGATCTAGGCAAGACACGACTACCTGACAGCAGCGAGAACCACCTGATAGTAGCTTCTAGACGCAATCAGTCTAGGATTCCCGAAGCCATGGCTGCTTCCGCAGCAGAATGGAGGATACGCGATTTGGGAACTCGATACTAGTTGCGCTGAGGTGTACCGCGCCCTCAATCATACAACTTCCATACTCCACGTTTCCATATTGCTATTCTGTGTATTATATGAACTGATTTTGTCGAATTAACGTGAAGTGTGTGAGCGGAATAGTTGGTATGGGGTACAGCTGTTTTGGACCTTGGTGAGTACCGTGCCCTCTAACTCACGTGGATCTCTCACACGTGTAAATTGACCAATCAAAACATGAAGCTCGTGTGAGAACGCTTGTGGTTGGTTTAAGTAATTTGGTTGTGGCGGGGTATTCAATCATTGGCTGTTCTTCCATTTCAAGAATCATGGCCACGCGGCATGGCGAAGTCTTGTCCGGGCAGGAAGAAATCTGAACTCAATGTGAATACCAGGAAGAGTCAGAACGTAGGACTTCGCCACATTATATGGATAGTAAACAAATATGACCACGGCATGAAATATTTCACTCCTGCCACTTCACGGTCTGGTGTAAAAAAGAAAGTCAAGCTGTTTAGCTGGAACATTGGTGCAGCGTCTGAACCAGACCATACGTGTCTCCGCGTCATTCCACCAAGTTTCCAGCCAATCAGAATCTCGTACACGTCGAACCGCTTCTACTCTGCCAGTGATACCGATTCCCGCCGAAGCTTTTCCCCAGCCTTCCACCATTCCCCAGAAAGTCAGGCCTGTGTGTTTCCATCCGCTGCAAGTTCTTCTGGCCCTCAAACCGTTGCCTGCAGAGCAGCTTGCACTTCTCTGTATTCACCACACCCACACTATCAACCTCTCTCCACCCCTTCCCAAACCAGTCTACCCCGCGTGGCTTTCGAGTTTCATCCATTCCCCGCTTCCCCCGTTCTCCGTACCTAGCCCAGCCTGTCGGTTCGCTTGCCTTTCCCCTCACGCAAAACGCCCAGCCCAAAGTCTCCCCAAACTCCACCACTTCCCCGCATCCCCTTTTCTCCCCCCGAACCTCGTGCGTCACCCACCTCGCCTCGCCGTGTTTCTTCCCCGTCATTCACCGTTGCTCAACAACCACCTTCAGCAGACCACCATGGATACATATTCCACTGAATGCGGTCATTCGTGCATTGAATCTCCATTTCTCTGAATCCATTTCGGCTTGTGTTGCCAGTTCTTAGGCGGCTGATAGGGCTTCCTGTCCGGCCGGTTCACACACGTGTATTTTGTACATATTAGTACATACTTCCGTTCCCGCGTGTAGATACACCCGCTTTCATTGCTTTTCATTACCTCTTGTGAATATTTGTTAACTATGGCGGCCTTCGCACTGTCCGTTGCGAGCAGCACCGCACCACCGTGCCGCCTGGAACTCTCTTCCCGAACTACCCATCAACTCTCCGGCCAAACTCGCTCCACGGCCACGCGTGCCACCCACTCCCTGGCCGCTGATTACGATGGATTCCGTCAGACGTCAACTTTCCCGTCAACCTCCACCGTATCTCACGCCGACGCGTTCACCGCCAACATCACCCGTCAGCTCGCTCCCGCCTCGTCATCCGCCGCGCATCGCGCCACTGTATCCGCCGTCTTCGACCGGTTCACGGAGCGCGCGATCAAATCCGTGATGCTGGGTCAGCGCGAGGCGAAGGCGCTCGGGCGCAAGGAGGTGGCGACAGAGCATCTCCTCCTGGGGCTCATCATGGAAGACCGCGCCAGCAGCGGCACCGCCAGCGCGAAGGGTTACCTCAACACCGGTGTAACCATCGACGGCGCTCGCGAAGCCGTTCGCGAAATGATTCGCGACGGCACGCTTTCGCCGTCCGAGGGGTCGGAGAAGCCCGCGTCGGAGGTGCCGTTCTCCGCGGGGAGCAAGCGGGTGTTCGAGGCGGCTCTGGAAGAGTCGCGGAAGCTTCGGCACAATTTCATCGCGCCGGAGCATCTGGTGATGGCGGTGCTGAGCGTCGAGTTCGACGCCGCCGGGAAGCTTCTTGAGAGGTACGCTTGTAACGGGGATGGAAGATGTGAATCTACGACTGATTTGAACGCTCAGCCTCTTGCTTTTCAACGCGAATGCGAAAAACGGGCGACGAAGTTCTACGATCTCACATCTAGCTCTTCGGGGCTTGATATTCAGTTGAATAACATCTGCATGCCCTATCTGTTCCGCGCAGGCTGGGCGTGCCCAAGGAGCGCGTGCGCGCGGAGGCGGTGGCGCGGCTGAAGGGCGAGCTGGCGACGGAGGGGCGGTCCACCGACTCCATCTCGCTCTCCGCCAAGCCCTCCGCCGCCTCCGCCAAGTCCGCGCCCGACCCCGCCAGGGCCGCCGCGCTCTCGTCGGCCTCCAGCTACAGCAAGAAGGGTTCCAAGAAGGGTAAGCGGGGAAGCTAGAAGCGGGAAATCGCGGGCGTGTTTGATAAAGTATAATTTTCGAGATTCTTTTAGTCATTAAGGCTGAGCGGATGGAGGTTGCGGATTCAGCATCGAGGCAGGATGCCGAATCTGGGGTGTAGTTTGCGGTGACTCGACGAACACCAGGTCGACTCGGCGGGAGCCAGAAAAGAGCGTCCTTTCAGGATTTCTGCATGGATTTATGACGGTCGTGGCTGTGATCGTGATGGGTGTTCACACCCATCCTCTCCCCTCCGTGCTCGCGCATTCCCTCGCTCGCCCCTCCCCCTACTCGCAGAGAAGAGCGCGCTCGAGGATTTCTGCATGGATCTGACGGTGATGGCGATGACGGGCGACATCGACCCGGTGATCGGTCGCGACCACGAGGTATCGCGCGTCGTGCAGATCCTCGCGCGCCGCACCAAGAACAACCCGCTGCTGCTCGGCGAGCCGGGCGTCGGCAAGACCGCCATCGCCGAGGGGCTCGCGCTGCGCATCGCCGAGAACGACGTCCCGGTCTTCCTGCAGGTACGGCGCGGCTGGTTGCCGTGATTTGTGCTGCTCATGACAGGTACGAGGCTACTGGTTCGGTCTTTTGATATATTTAACTCTTGTATTATACTCTATTCTGCGTTCCAGGGCAAGCGCGTGATGGCGCTGGGCATGGGGCGGCTCATCGCAGGCTAGATCCGCCAAAACGATGAATCTCATTGTGTCTATTCTATTCTGTTCTAATATGTTCCACTGTATTCCGCGCGCGTCGCAGGGCAAGCGCGTGATGTCGTTGGACATGGGGCGCCTCATCGCGGGCGCCAAGGAGCGCGGCGAGCTCGAGGCGCGCGTCACGGGGCTCGTCTCGGAGGCCGTCAGCGCGGGCGACGTCATCCTCTTTATCGACGAGCTGCACACCGTTGTCGGGTCCGGCGCCGTGTCGCGCGGGCGCGGCGCGGGGGGAGGGGGCGGCGGCGGTCTGGACATCGCGAACCTGCTCAAGCCCGCGCTCGCGCGGGGGCAGCTGCAGGTGGGGGTCTGGTTGTGATTGTATCTAAGGGGTGACTGCATGAAGGTGTGAGTATATGCTTACCATTTAGGATGCCTGTTGGTAATCCTGTGTTCCCCCCGACTTTGCTCCCTTCCCTCCCCCCTCCCCCCGTTCTTGCTGACCCTCCATTTTCCCCCACCCACTTCTGTTCTCCAGTCCTCGCCACTTGCTCAGTTCATGGGCGCGACGACCACAGGCGAGTACCGCAAGCACGTGGAGAAGGACAAGGCTCTAACCCCGTTTCCCCATCCCCCTCCCCCTCCCGCTCCCCCCACTGTCACCCCTTCCCTCACCAGTGCATGGGAGCAACAACCATAGGCGAGTATCGCAAGCACGTAGAGAAGGACAAGGCGCTCGCTCGCCGCTTCCAGCCATTCGACGTGGCGGAGCCGTCGCAGGAGGACGCGCTGCTCATCCTGCACGGCCTCTCTTTCTCCCCCTTCCCCTTTATTCCCCCCTTCGTCTCCCCGCCCCCTATCAGTGCATGGGAGCAACGACAATCGGCGAGTACCGCAAGCACGTGGAGAAGGACAAGGCATTGGCACGTCGCTTCCAGCCAGTCGACGTGGCGGAGCCATCACAGGACGACGCGCTGCTCATCCTGCACGGGCTGCGCCGCCTCTACGAGCGCCACCACAAGTGCCACGTCAGCGACGACGCGCTCATCGCGGCCGTGCAGCTGTCGGCGCGCTACATCCCGGACCGCTTCCTGCCGGACAAGGCGATCGACCTGGTCGACGAGGCCGCGAGCCGCGCCGTGATTGACGGGTTCAGGCGGAACCGGCAGCGCGAGACGAGCGTGCTGCACAAGGGCCCGGAGGAGTACTGGCGCGCGATCAGAGCCGCTCAGGCGGCAATCAATGCGGTGAGTGATGGGGCGAGTTGCAGTGAGGTGATGTGAGTGGGAGTTGCAAAGGATCTGGGAGAGGGGCTGAACGGGAGATGACCGTGTGCTGTATGGGGAGGAGGGGGGGAGAAATCGAGCCGGGCGATCAGAGCATGTGAGGCAGGAGCAGGTGAGCCATGCGAGCAAGGAACTCACGTGGGGGGGACAGGGTGGGCGTGGTGTGTGTGCGATCCTCGGCAGAACGGGTTGGTGCAGTTGCCCATGGGGGCAGCAGCAAGGGGGGGTTGCGCTGCGACGTGCTGAACGGATGTATTACATACAGTGTACTGCATGCGTCGTAATCCGGGCTTCAACTTGTATTAAATCCCAACAAGCCCACCGGGTGTATTACATACAGTGATGTCCTAAATCTTGTCTATCGCTCTCTCCCTGTGGGCGTGGGCTTGTGCTGTGCAGGTGGAGGAGGTGCAGTCGCCTCTGGGTTCAGCAGGGGGTCCATCGGCGTTCCTATCAGAGGATCCCAAGCCCTCTTCGCCTGCTGCCACCCCTTCCTGGTCTCCTGCTGGCGATGGCGACAGGTACGCTACCGTGTATCCTCACCCTTTACTTGAAACAAGGTGGCTCGGACCAAGTGTAGATAGGAATTGGTCCCACACAAGCCTGCCTCTTAGAACACGACGAAGTACAATCAAGGTGGGCTGCTGAGAGCGCACACTGAAGCTTGCAATGCATGACCCAGAATCCGCACACTTGGTGCTCGGAAGCATCAATCTCGTCCCCGCCATCCCTATCGCCCCTTCCGTCCCCCTATCCCACTCCTCCCCTGTTCCAGCCTGTCCATAGGACCAGAGGACATAGCAGCAGTAGCATCTCAGTGGACGGGCATCCCCCTGCAGCAGCTCACAGCAGACGAGCAGCGCCACCTCACTGCTCTCGAGCCCGCGCTGCACTCGCGAGTGGTGGGGCAGCACGAGGCCGTCAGCGCCATCGCGCGCGCTGTCAGGAGGGCGAGAGTGGGGCTGAAGGACCCGAAGCGGCCCACGGCGGCCATGCTGTTTTGTGGTCCCACTGGGGTGGGGAAGACGGAGCTCAGCAAGGCGCTGGCACAGCATTACTTTGGCTCGGTGAGTGAGGCATGGGGAGGAAGTTTGGCGCTGGGAGGGAGGGGATGGGGATGTAATGCTGGGTGGGGCAAGACGAGACTGGCAGCTCCTGCACTCACCGTCAACCCTTTCTCTGGAGTATGCAATGTGGTTGGGCAATCACACACCTTCTCACCCCTCCTCCTCTCCCCACTGACACCCCCGTACAGGAGGAAGCCATGATCCGGCTAGACATGAGCGAGTACATGGAGCGCCACGCTGTCAGCAAGCTGCGTTGACAGATGGGCTCACCAGCGCACCTCCCTGCCTCTCCCCTCCCTGCTCTCCACCATCACCCACCATCATTCCCATACAGGAGGAAGCCATGATCCGTCTGGACATGAGCGAGTACATGGAGCGCCACGCTGTCAGCAAGCTGGGGGAATAGATGAGCTCATCTCCCCCTCATGTGCTCTCTTGTCCCTCCTTCCACCACCCCTCCCCTTATAGGAGGAAGCCATGATCCGGCTGGACATGAGCGAGTACATGGAGCGTCACGCTGTCAGCAAGCTCATCGGCGCGCCTCCGGGCTACGTGGGCTTTGGAGAGGGCGGCAAGCTCACTGAGGCCGTCCGACGCCGCCCGTTCTCGCTGCTGCTGCTGGATGAGATTGAGAAGGCGCACCCCGACGTCTTCAACCTGCTCCTGCAGGTGCGGTGTGTTGTGTTGCACAAGGTCCTTGTAGATCACACTAGTTATGTCTCTACTAGGCTTACGTTTTGGTGTGCTTCAAAACTCCGCTGCTGCTGCTGGACGGGATCGAGAAGACTCACCCAGACGTTTTCATCCTCCTGCTGCAGCTGTGTCTCGCTGTGCCTGATAGGATGAGTAACTCATTCTTTTACCACCTCCTGTCTAATCCTGTCGCACCCTGGTGTCTCTAATCATGTGTTCCAGATCTTTGAAGACGGCAGGCTGACGGACTCGCAAGGCCGGGTTGTGTCGTTCAAGAACACGCTCATCATCATGACCAGCAACGTCGGCTCGCAGGCCATTGCACGCGGCGGCGGCAACAGGGTGGGCTTTCTGCTGCCAGGAGCGGACGAGGCGGACGGGGGGCGGTACGCGGGGCTCAAGTCGTTGGTGATGGACGAGCTGAAGAGCCACTTCCGCCCGGAGCTGCTCAACCGGATTGACGAAGTTGTTGTCTTCCGGTCACTTGAGAAGGACCAGGTGCGTGCACCTTCAAGGGAGGGCTGGGAGGGTATCAAGTTGGGTGGGGGCTCAAGGCGCTGGTGATGGATGAGTTGAAGAGCCACTTCCGCCCCGAGCTGCTCAACCGCATTGATGAAGTCGTGGTGTTCCGATCTCTCGAGAAGGACCAGGTGCGTGAGGGGGGATAGGTTTGTGGGGGGGGGAGGGAACAGGAGGGTGGGCTTGTTGCTCCCCAGGGCGGTGGAGGCACACGTGGGGAAGGGGGGAAGGTGCGCGGGGCTCAAGGCGTTGGTGATGGACGAGTTGAAGAGCCACTTCCGCTGATGAAGTCGTCGTGTTCCAATCCCTGGAGAACGACCAGGTGAGACGAAGGGGGTTGTGTAAGGAGAGGAGGGAACAGGGTGGAGTTTTTGCTCCCCAGGGCGGACAAGGCAGAAGGGGGGGAAGGGGGGGAAAAGGTATGCGGGGCTGAAGGCTCTGGAGATGGATGAATTGATGAGTCACTTGTGCCCCAGAGCGTCACTCGGAGCGCAACATCCGCCTGGAATTCTCCGAGGCTCGTATGCGACGAGGGCTACTACCGCTGCTACACAAGACACTCTCCCCCCCGTCCTCCTTCCTTCCTCAGCCCCCCTCTGACCCCTTCGTTTCCCCTTTTCCCAATTCCCATTTCCTTTCCGCCTCCAGGTGCGAGCGATTGTGGACATGATGATAAAGGAGACGTCCATTCGCCTCTCGGAGCCAACATCCGACTCGAAGTCTCCGAATCGCTCATCCAGCGCATCTGTGACGAGGGCTACCACCGCTCCTACGGGGCGTGGCCGCTGCACCCCCTCCCCCCTCTTCCCCCCCCCCCACCCCCCCCCTTTTCTCTCACTTCTCCTCAACCCCCGTCCCTCCACCTGCTGCTCCTCCCGACTCCCACCCCCCCCTCTCCCAGGTACGGGCCATAGTGGACATGATGATAAAGGAGACGTCCATCCGTCTCTCAGAGAAAAACATCCGCCTGGAGGTCTCCGAGGCGCTCATCCAGCGCATCTGCGATGAGGGCTACGACCGATCCTACGGGGCGCGCCCGCTGCGTCCCCTTCCCCCACGCCCCCCACGCCCCCCACGCCCCCCTCTCCTCCCCACTGGATGATGCATGTAAAGCTGCAAGCTCCTCTCTCACCTTTCTTCACTTCCCTCGTCCCCCATTCCTCACCCCTTCCTCTCCCCTCACCCCAGGTGCGAGCGATTGTGGACATGATGATAAAGGAGACGTCCATCCGCCTCTCGGAGAAAAACATCCGACTCGAGGTCTCAGAGGCGCTCATCCAGCGCATCTGCGACGACGGCTACGACCGCTCCTACGGCGCACGGCCGCTGCGCCGCGCCGTCACGCGATTGGTGGAGGACCCGATCAGCGAGGCGGTGCTGTCGGCCAATAGCAGCGGAGGGCTGGTGGCGGGCGGCAGCGTGTCGGTGGTGGGAGGGGCGTTTGAGGAGGGGGATACTGCGCTGGCTGATATCGGGCCCGATGGAGAGCCGTTTGTCATGCGGATCGCTAAGAGCGAGTTGCTGAGAGTGTAGCCTAGTGGGAGGGGAAGTTCCTGCGTGCACTGTCCATTTGGAGAGGACGTGTTTTGAGTTGTTTGCTGTATTCAGCTGTTGATATGGTGTTTTATGAGGTGCTGGTGTTAACAAACATCAACGTTATTGGCAGTCGTCATATGATAACTTAGTGTTATATACACATTGAAAAGAGTTGCAATTTTCTGCCACATATGCTAGGAAGCTTTTTTGTTACCTACCGGTAACTCACGGCTGGTGGGTAGACCCTAACTGTGTGCTGGTGGCTGAACAGAGTTGGCACTAAATGAGGAAAAGCTGCCGACTAAATCTGCACAAATTATGATGTAGAATAACAAGAAAGCTTCTTGTGAATCTGCACTGTAGAAGGAGGCTTTGTTAGGCCCCTTAACAGGCTTCCTAGCATATGTACACTGTACTTGCTAGTAGATCTGCACGGTGCTGCGGTGCTTCCAGAAAACGCGTGCCACCTCGGGGTGCACGATGCGCTTGACACGGCAGCTGCTCTTCTGAAATGTGGCCGTGCCTCGAATGGCGTCCGCCACGTGCGATGGGTCGTACCCCAAATCGTGCGCCGCCTCCGCCTGTGCCCCGTACACCAGCCGCTGTTAAGGCAAGGGGGGGAGGAGGGGGGGAGGAGGGGAGGTGAAGAAGGGAGTGGGAAAGTTTCATGGTACATAAGCATGGCGTTGCAGTGCTTCCATAGCACACGGGCCACGATGCGCTTGACACGGCAGCTGCTCTTCTGAAACGTGGCCGTGCCGTCCGCCACGTGCGATGGGTCGTACCCCAAATCGTGTGCCGCCTCCGCCTGGGCTCCGTACACCAGCCGCTGTTAAGGCAGAAGAGGGGAGGAGGGGGGGGGGGGGATGGGGGAAGGAGGGACAGGGACATGGCTGAAGGTGAAATCACGGATGACATCCGCCACTTGCGATGGGTCGTACTTCAAATCGTGTGCCGCCTCCGCCACCGTACACCAGCCGCTGGTGATGGGGAGGGGGAGGTAAAGGGTAGACGGGGAGAGTGGAACAGGAAATGTTGAGATTCACAGGCTGGGTCGTACCCCAGGTCGTGTGCTGCCTCCGCCTGTGCCCCGTACACCAGCCTCTGTTAAGGCAGGGGGTGCGGGAGGGAAAGGGGGAGGAGGGGGGAGAAGGAAGGAAGAAGAGGGTCGTACCCCAGGTCGTGTGCCGCCTCCGCTTGTGCCCCATACACCAGCCGTTGGTGGGGAGAGAAAGGAGAAGGGAAGGGGGAGGAGGAGGGAGGGAAGAGCGAGTGCTTGAGAAGCACGTGCTGTGCATCGTTGTGCCTGACATGTGAGATGACGTGAGGTCACACGCAGGTGTTGGCATGGGGCATTGAGGGGATGGGTGTGGCGATGAGGGCATGGCAAAGAACGACATGTGACATGGAGGGCATGCGGGGCAGGAGGGGGCCAGGAGGCAAGGGACCCATGGGTCGCTCTCCGGGAGGCGTTCGAGGTACTGGCGGCAAAGGACATGGGGCAGGGCGGGCAAGGCATGGGGAGCAGGAGCCTTGGTGGGCATGCGGGAACAGGATGGGCAGGAGGTGAGAGAATCACTGACCGGGAGGCATGGCAGCGAAGGACATGGGGCAGGGAGGGCACGGTGGGGGCAGGGCTCACCGGGAGGCGGGCGAGGTACATGGCGGCGAAGGACATGAGAGGCTGAGGGCATGAGGGTGGCGTTGAGGGCATGGGGTCAGGGGGACGGAGGTCACGGCTTACCGGGAGGCGGGCGAGGTACATGGCGGCGAAGGACATGGGGCAGGGCTCGCAGGAGGAGTAGATGACACAGTCCGCCAGCTCTATCTTCCCCAGCGCCTTGCACGCCTGCACGTGATGGCCATGTGCGGGCGGTTGGGAGGGCGGTGTAGGGCGGTTGCGAGGGTAAGCAATGCAAGGAAGAAGAAAGGGAAGGGGAGTGCAATGCAAGATGGATGGACGCTAAAGAACTGGGACTCGGCATGGCACCTGCCACGTGGGATCCTTCAGCAGGATTTTTGCGACGCCTCAAATCTCAGCGTATTAAACGCACTCCTTGTGCTTGGAATCGTTTTCCGGAGATTTCAAACACAGCTAGCTGAACTTTTGGATGGCGATAATCTCAGTGTGGAACATGGGGTCCTGGTGCTTAAAGCACCGCTTTGTGCCTTCTGAGTCGACTCAGAAGTTACCGACAAGGTTGTCTTGAGAACTGTTGAACACAGCTAGCTCACCTTCTGGATGGCAGTGATTTGATTTCGGTGTGATACATGGGGTCCATATAATTGAGTTCGTCTTGGACACATTCTCAGAAACAGTTACTTCACCTCCGCTCACCTTCTGAATGGCGATGATCTCGGCGTGACACGTGGGGTCCTTGTGTTTCAGCACCTCGTTGTGCGCGCGCGCCACGATCTCCCCGTTGCGCACGATCACCGCGCCGAACGGCCCGCCGTCCTTCTCCAGCGCGCCCGTCTCCGCCTCCTCCGCCGCGACCGTCAGAAACTGATAGTCCTGCTCGTCCTCCACCTCCATCTCCGACCGTACACGTGGCAGAGATTTCACGGCGACGGGATCGGGTGACGAGAAAGAGGCGATGGGCTCGGCTGGCGACGTTTTCCCGATTCCGTCATCGTCGACGGAGGCGTTGACGTCTTCTGATGGTTTTGAGTCAGGTTTGGACGTAGCGAGGCGACGGGAGAGGAAGAAGGTGAGAGCGGCTGAGAGAGAAGCGGCGATGATGACGTCGAGCCGCATCGCGAAAGTCTCGCAATTTTTTCGTATCTGTAAGCAATTATTTTGGTTTTCTAGTGCGCAGAAAATGTGTGACGAACAGTTCAGTGTCGGAATCCGACCAGGCAGGAATCAGGCGGAACAGCGACGCAGAGCGAGTTTTGTGAACGGTGGGATGGTATGGACATGGAAGACCGTAAACGGTTAGTTCTAATATTACTATTCTAACTATGATTATTACAAGTCCAGAACCGGAGGTACGCGGTGTGATAGGGGCCTGGTTTAGGAATAAGTGGTAGCCATGGATAGAACCTGACCAGCATGAGCAGCAAATGGATAAACGAAAGGAGCAGACGGAGACGAACTGCAAGTGCACGAAATTGACGGATCGGCCAGACGGAATTGGCCTGCTTTTGACCGAAAATGTTTACAGCCAATCGAAGGCCTCCGAACGAAAAGACATAGACGAATCCCACGTGGCCCCACCCACATCCATCAACCACTGATACGTGCAGCAGCACCACTCCCGTCGTGCTTGAGAGGTCTTGCGAAAAGGCGAAACTGTGGCCTGTTACCATGTCAGTAGCACCGTCTTACCGAACAAGTGTAGCTACTCGTACCGCAATAAACTAGCGTTTCTCTTCAATTGAATCGTTCTTTAGTGCGGCCAACAGGAATGATTTGCGTATCTCCTGGAATCTCTTCGGCTTGCTGCCAGGCTGACGACACCCCGTTCTGTCTGTTCCTCCAAATTCTTCCGCCTTTTCCGCCTTGGCCTGAATTTTCGAGGCCCCTCGCCCCTCGACTTCCCGTCGTCGCTCCGTCCTTTTAGCAAAGCACATTTTAGGCCACCTTGCTAAGCTCTTAACCCTCTTCCTCTGACCATGTCTCGTTCCTTTGATTGTTCGTCATAGTACTGAGCGTTCGCGCGAGCCCAATTCCACCGGGCGTCTTTCCGAAATCACCATCCGAGCAGTTACCATCAGCCGCCACGCCTCTCATGGCTTTCCAACCCCTGCTCGGTCTCTTATCTCTCTCCGAGCCGCCAATCAGCGAGGCGGAATGGTGGTTCTTCGCGGGACTCTCCGCGTTTCTGGTCGTGTTCGCGGGCCTGATGTCCGGGCTGACGCTGGGCCTCATGTCGCTGAGCCCCGTGGATTTGGAGGTGCTGGTTCAGAGCGGCACGGCGGACGAGCAGCGACAGGCGGCGGCTATAATCCCCATAGTGGAGAAGCAGCATGAGCTGCTGGTCACGCTGCTGCTCTGCAACGCCGTCGCCATGGAGGTGAGCTTCAAAAAGATTACCTGGGGGAGATATTGTCGCAGATGTTAACAACTGTGAAAGCATGTCTGTTATTGGTATAATTCTGTTGACTGCAATTCTCTCGTTGCTGCATGTCTGTTGCTCCTTGCATCATTGCATCAACAACATCGCACCATCCCACCATGGCAGGCCCTGCCGGTGTTTCTCGATCGCCTGGTCCCTCCAGCTGCCGCCATTGCTCTCTCCGTCTTCTTCGTGCTGCTCTTTGGGGAGGTGAGCGCAGCAACGGGAGGAGAGGTGGGAGTAGAGTAGAGGTGAGCACACACCTGTTAGGTGTGTCTCCCCACTGTGCATCTGTGTGTCTGTGTGTCTCAGGTGACCCAAGCCATCTGTTTTCGCCGTGCCAAGCATAGCCCCCCACCATGCTGCCTTACCCACCCCAAACCCATCCTTTTTCACAGGTAATTCCCCAAGCCGTGTGTTCGCGGTACGGGCTGGCAGTGGGCGCCAATCTCATTCCCCTCGTGCGCTGCCTCATGCTGCTCTGCTGGCCCATCGCCTTCCCCATCGCCAAGGTGCCAATGCATGCCTCCCCTCTCTCTTGTCACTCGCCTCCCTGCTGACCAGCTTCCTGTTTCACTGCACCCCATTCCTACAAAGCTTTCAATTTCATTAAACTCCATTGCTAGAAGACTTTCAATTCCATTAAACTCCATTGCTACAAAGCTTTCAATTTCATTAAACTCCATTGCTAGAAGACTTTCAATTCCATTAAACTCCATTGCTACAAAGCTTTCAGTTCCATTAAACTCCATTGCTACAGAACTTTCAATTCCATTAAACTCCATTGCTACAGAGCTTTCAATTTCATTGGACTCCATTGCTACAAGAATCTCCTGTCTTCCCACTGCCTGAGGTACTCGATTATCGATCTGTCCACAGCCGCCAGCCTCACCCCCTATGCAGCACACACACACCACCCCACACCCCCCCGCGCCCCATTCCCCAGGTACTGGACTACCTGCTGGGGCACGTGCCACCCGCTCACCCATCCACCCACCCACCCACCCACACGAACCAGCCTCACCCCCAATGCTCCACACACCCCTCATTGCCCCCCCCCCCACACCCCCCTTCCCCCCCCCCCACAGGTACTGGACTACCAGCTGGGGCACGTGCCACCCGCTCACCCATCCGCACACACAAACCACCCTCATGTCCTCCCCCCAACCCCCCCCCCCAACCCCCCCCCCCCACAGGTGCTGGACTACCTGCTGGGGCACGACGACCAGCTCTTCAGGCGGCAGCAGCACACCACCCTCACCCCCAGTGCTCCGCACACCCCTCGGCCCCCACGCCCCACCACACCCCTCACGCCCCACCACACCCCTCACGCCCCACCACCTATGATGGATTATACGCGTTTAGCGTATATACGCGTGTCATATATACGCTAGTGTATATACGCTACACGCGAGAGGGGTCTGATCCAGGATACGCTTTTCTGGGCAGCTAAAAAACTTTCCCGGGCAGGGCAAAACAAAACCCGGTGAGCATTTTCGGCTACTCGGGGGAATTTTTCATACTCGTCGACCATGCGGGAATCTTGTCCCGTAACCGTGTGTCCTTTGGCGAAAATTGTCGAAGTTCGAACTTCAACCGCTTTGAACCGTGGCGAAACGTTTCCCAACTGTATCCTATCTTGTAGAACCTCTCTAAAAGTTCGAACTTTGGCAAAAGTTCGCCCCCAAGGACACACGCCCTAAAACAGAGAAATTGCGGGAAATGGTTGGGTTCAAGATCTGAGAACACATTTGTACCCAACCACCACAATTTTCACCGTTCGCGAAATTGGCGAGCGGTTGAAATTTGTCGTGCCTTGCTGGCGAATCACCTCCGATCTAGTCAAAATGTTGGCGAATTGTTTTCGCGAAACAGCTAGACGCAACTCACAACTACTCTCAATCCAACCCCCCCACATCTCGACAGACTTACCTACCGCGCTCGATTTCTTACCTAGTTGTGTAGATTAGGCAAACGCGATACCAAGACATAAAGCCACTTTCCCGCCACCGCAGACGTGCAATCTGACTTCGCAGAATTGCTCGTCGTGAAATTCCGCATCGTTTGAGCTATTCGAATAATCTTGGGTCGGCGGGCTGCCCAGAAAAAACTTTGGGCCGCGTATAGCGTTTTCGCTAGCGTTTCGCGTTTAGCGTGTACACGCTAGCGTACAAACGCTAAACGCTTAAGGTCCAAAGCGTATAATCCATCATACCACCACACCCCTCACCTCCCCCGCGCCTCAACCCCATCCCCAGGTGTTGGACTACCTGCTGGGGCACGACGACCCGCTCTTCAGACGGCAGCAGCTCAAAGCTCTCGTCAGCATCCATGGCGCTGAGGTGCGGTGGGGTGCGGTGGGGTGCGGTGGGCGAGCTGGGGCAGAGGTTTGGGGTGGGGGCCGAGCAGGAGCAGAGGCACGGGTGCCCTGCCCAGCATGCCTCTTGCCCAACATGCCTCCTACCATGTCCCTTCCTCTCTTCTCATGTCTCGTGGGCCCTCCCCTCCCCATCCCCGTTTCTTGCCCCAACTTTTCTGCCGCGCTTCCTCACAACACCTTCGTAACACGTTATTCTCTATTGCAAGTTCCCCGAGCGATTTTCGCGCACCCATCGAGCACATCCCATTCAAACTTCCACACCTCGGAATCTTCATTCCCTTTTGTGAATCCCCCACTCCCCATGGCACAACCAATCTCCACTCTCCATGGCACAACCAACCTCCACTTCCCATGGCATCAGGCGGGCATGGGAGGGGAGCTGACTCGCAGTGAGACCACCATCATCAGTGGCGCCCTTGATCTCACACAAAAGGTGAATCTGAGCCGTTGATTTCCCTACAGTTACCTTTTCTCACAGTCGGTCTTTTACGCTTCTCTGAGAGAATCTCAAGTGTTGTCTTGATTAGAAAGAGTGTGGGTACATATAGGAGATGAGAAGTTTTGGGAACAAAGTGGGGTACCCTCAGCATTTATTGGTGGACCAATCAGATTGGGTCGACCAACAATTGCTGGGGTAACCAACAATCGTTGGAGGGGACCATTATTGGGCCCCCCACCGTCAATTGCGGTCGAGTTGGGTTTGGGGGCGCCCAACCAAAATTGGTTGGGTCGCCTTGACCCAAAGTGTACACCCACTTTAGGGTGTAACACATGCACAAATATAAACATACATTATGCTATATTCTAACACAACCCCGTAGCATAAGAGGTTTATAAGTGTGCACAACCCCGGAATCATGAAGCCGGGGAGAGGCCAAGAAGGCGAAGGAAGGCCCGGTGGGCTAGCTTCGGAAGAGCTTTGGTGAAGATGTCAGCGAGGTTGGCTTCGGCGGCAATTTTTCGGACGGCAAGATGGCCTTGCTGGACAAGATCGCGAATGTAGAAGTAGCGTAGTTCGATGTGTTTGGAGCGCCCGTGGAAGACCGGATTCTTGGTGAGGTGGATCGTGCTGGCGTTGTCGCACCAGAGCGTGGGGCATGGCTGGGGGGCCCCAAGCTCGGCTAGCAAGAAGGAAAGCCAGCGTCCTTCCTGCGCAGCCATGGTACCAGCATAGAGTTCGGCTTCACAAGATGAGAGGGCGATGGCGGAGGAGCGGGTGGAGCGCCAGCTGACCAAGCCGCTACCGAGCGTGAAGCCATATCCTTGGGAAGAGCGGCGATCCGGCTGAGAGTCTGCCCAAGACGAGTCACTGAAGCCGGTGAGGAGCGGGGGAGAGGCACCACCAAGGGTGAGAACATGGTCCTGAGTGCCACGGAGGTAGCGTAGGACTCGTTTGGCGGCTCTCCAATGCACGGAGGTGTGACGACCGGTACCGACGAAACGCGCCAGGACGCTGATGGGGTAGGCGAGGTCGGGACGGGTCCCCATCATGGCATACATGATGGAGCCAACCAGTTCCGCATAGGGCTGAGTGGAGGCGGAGGGGGAGGTGGGTGGAGCAAGCCGATGGCCGAATGGAAGGGGAGTGGCCACTGGGTTGGCGAGAGCCATGTCGAACCGCTCCAACACCTGCTGAAGATAGTGAGATTGAGATAAGGTGATGGTGCGGGCAGCTCGATCGCGTGTGATCTCCATGCCCAAGTAGTGGCGTAATTCGCCAAGGTCCTTGCACTGGAGACGAGCTTGTAGTTCTTCCTTAACGTCGGTCATGTCGGCGGAGGTGTCGGCGAGGAGCACCATGTCGTCAACATAGACTAGGACGAAGAAGCGGCTGGGACGGGTCCGAATGAAGAGACTGGCGTCAGAGTGAGATGGTTGAAATCCGAGAGCACAGAGTGTAGATGCCAGCTTAGCATGCCATTCCCGAGGAGCCTGCTTCAGGCCGTAGACTGGACGGCGTAGTTCCCAGACAGTGTCTGGTGGGAAGGCTTCATGGAAGCCATCTGGGCGGTCGAGGAAGATTTGTTCGTGGAGGTTCCCCTGAAGAAAAGCGTTAGAGACATCCATTGATGAGATCTCCATGCCGTTGCGGGAGCCAAAGTCGAGAAGCGTGCGAAGGGTCCCGAATTTTGCGGTAGGTGAGAAGGTTTCCCAAAAGTCCTTGGCATAGGTCTGTGTGAAGCCCTTGGCGCAGTAACGGGCTTTGTAGACGGGCTCCTCCCCCGGAAGCTGCTTCACCCGGAAGACCCACTTGCCAGCGACAACGTTGGCATCTGGAGGCGGCTTGACATCGACGAAGGAATCATTGCGAATGAAGGCGTCGCACTCCTTGCGAATGGCCTCCAGCCATTTGTCAGCGTCAGGGCACGTGATTGCCTCCTGGAATGTGGTAGGCGTGAAGATGAGAGGTGAGGAGGGAGTGCCAAGTACAACCGCGCCCAAAAGGGCAAGGTACACAGGGTTAAGGGAAGGAACGTGAGTGTGAATGGCACAAAACTCCTCATGGGAGTCTTCATGAATGAGAGGTGGTTGACCAAGAATGGGGTCAAGGGAGCGAGTGTGCATGCGTGGGAGGAGGAAGGGAGAGCGTGAGGTGAGAGAAGTGCGAGGACGTGGGGAGGATGCAGGAGGTGCGGCGGGCGAGGATGGAGGAGGAGAAGCTGGAGGGAGGTGGGTGGGAGGGGAGGGAGGAGGGGGAGAGGGAGGAGGGGGAGCGGTGGAAAGGGCAGGTGAGGCAGCAGGATCATAGATATCAGCCGAGGAAGGTGGAGGTGAGAGTGGAGTAGTTGGGAGGAGTGGAGCAGATGGGAGGAGAGGAGGAAGAAGGGCATCCGCCCAGGTGAGTGGGCGGGAGGGTGGGGGGAGAGGGTCGGAGGGAGGAGGAGAGGAGTAGTAGGGGATGGTTTCATCGAAGACGACATCGCGGCTGCGAATGAGGCGTCCGGAGGGAGGATGAAGGAAGAGGTACCCAGGAGAGCCACGATTGTGGCCGAGGTAGACGCACTCCAATGCTTTGGAGGCAAGTTTTCCTGCTTTGCGGGAACGGTCTGCGGGAGGAATGAGAACAAAGGATTTGCAGCCCCAGACGCGAAGGACGGAGGCATCAGGTTTGGAGTTGCACCAAAGCTCAGTGGGAGTGAGGTTGGGATGGTGGGGGTGAGGGTAGAGGTTGGTGAGAAGGGCGGCATGAGTGAGAGCATAGCCCCAAAGGGAGGGAGGGGTAGATGCATGGGTGAGGAGACAGCGGGCAGTTTTGGTGATCTCACGGATGCGACTTTCAGCTACACCGTTTTGTTGCGGAGAATGAGGGAGAGTGGACGTCTGTTGAGTGCCATGTGCTTTGCAGTAGGAGGCAATGGTATGGTTGAGAAACTCCCCGCCACCGTCAGAGTGAAGGCGACGGATGGGTCGGCCGAAGTGCACGCGCGCTTGTTCGGCCCAGGCGATGATGACAGCGGCTGCTTCAGCTTTCGTGTGGAGTAGAAACACAGAGGAGTAGCGGCTATGGTCGTCTACGAGGACGAGCATAAAGCGGTGGCCCTGGCGGGAAGGGGAGGGGGAGGGACCCCAGAGGTCCATGTGGACGAGATCTAGGGGAGCAGTAGCAAATGAGGGATGGCTGTGATGGGGTTTTTGTTTGAGTTTGCCATGAATGCAAGTGGGACAAGGAGGAGCTGGTGAGGTGGGTAGGGGAGGAAGGGCAGGGGGGAGCCCATGAAGGAGGCGAGAGGATATTGCGGCACGGAGGGTGGTGAAGTTGGGGTGACCAAGACGGTGATGGAGGAGAATGGCGGGGTGAGAGAGGGAGAGGTCGGGAGAGGTAGAGGGAGTGGGAGATGATGAAGGGGGAGGAGCAATGGTGGGAGAAGGGTAGGTGGAGCGACGGGTGGTGAGATGACATGATGCCGGAAAAGGGAGACGTAGTGTGTAAAGGTGAGTGCGGGGGCAGATTGGGAGGCGATAGACAAGGCGGCCAGTGGAGGTATGAATGAGATCGCAGTAGGAAAAGTGGGCAGGAAAAATGGCGGTAATGCCGGCTTTTTGGAGATCATGAAGAGAAATAAGGTTGTGACGAAGAGTGGGAATGTGGAGGCCAGTGATAGTGCCGGAGGGAAAGAGGGGACACGGAAGAGTAGAGGAGTGTGTGCATGGGATCGAGAAGCTAGAATCAGCGCCATGAACAGTGGAGGGGAGAGATAGTGTTTTGAGAATGCCAGCGTCCTTCAGGGCACTGACGGTGGCCCCGCTATCGAGGACAAAGTCCAAGGTGAGCGGGGAAGGAGACGCAGAATACTGGAAGTCACTGTTATTAAGAACAGAGGGATACATGGAGGTGGTGCTAGGCAAGGGAGAAGCTAGCTGACCAAGAAAGCTAGAGTATGACTCAGCTGGGGAGGTATGGGCGGCGGTGGCGGCAGAACCGAAGCCAAGAGGTTGCTGCTGCCAGGCGGCAGTTGCTGCTGCTGCTGCTGCTGCTGCTGCCGCTGCCGCTGCTGTGGCGGCTGCGCCTCCCCCACCTCCCCAGGGCGGCTGCTGTGGCTGCTGGTGCGGCTGCGGCTGTGGGGGCAGCTGCGGGGGCTGCTGCAACTGCTGTGACTGAAGATGCTGCAAAAACTGCTGGAGTTGCAGTTGAGGAGAGGGAGTGGTGAGGTTAAGGTGGGAGGGTTGATAGAGAGGGAGATGTTGAACATCATGGACAGTGGGACGACTTGCAAGAGCGGACCAGCGGGGGGGGGTACCATGGTTACCACGATCAAACCAGGCATCGTCCAAGACGCCGAAGCAGGTGGTTATGGGGTGGTTGGTTTGACCGCAGGGTTCCCCAGCGCGAGGGCCGTGACGGCGAACGTAGGGGCAGGGGGGGAGTTGACCAGGTCCGCTACCACCACGTCCACTTCCTCCAGGGCCGCCCGTGCCAGAAGGAGTGCGTCCACCAAAGGTGCCACCACGTCCACCACCACGGCCGCCACCACGCCCACCTCCACGTCCGCCACCGCGACCACCACCACGCCCACCACCGCGTGTCTGGGTGGCGTTGAGTTCTGGCGCGGGTGCTTGAGCCGTGTTGAGAGAAGGCGGGTTGGTACGAAGGAGGCGGGTTTCGGTGTCAATGATCCATTGAACGACAGCAGCAACATCCGCAAACGGCTGATTTTCGCGGAAGGCAATGACGTGCATGTCGTAGGACGGGTTGAGACCGCGGAGAAGGCGATCTATCTGGATGAACTGGGGGAGTTCGGACTGGCGAGCCTTAAGTCGCTTGGCGAGAGAGGTCATGCGGCCGGTGTAGGCGACGGCACCAGTGCAGGTTGCGAGCGTTGTCTCCCAGTATTCGTCAAGGAGCAGCCCCACGGAGTTGACGTCATGGCGCTCAAACATGGCGTGAAGGGAGGCCCAAAGGGCAGGTGCGTGAAGCTCTTGTTCCTGAAAGTCTCGCATTAGAGCGGGGGGGAGACCACCAAGGATAATATTAGAGGCAGAAAGGTCAGATTCCTTCCAAGCAGCAGCTTTAGCGGTATATTCAGCGAGCTCGAGAGTGTAGCGGTCAGCCATGGTGCGGTGATTTATTATGGCAGCTTGGCGCATGTCGTATTGCTCGCGAGCCGCACGATGGTCCGCTCGGAGCGTGAGGAACCGACGCCGCTCGAGATCGTAGGCGGCTTCATCAGCGGCTTGGCGAACAGGATCCGTGGAGGCAGCGGGCAGATCTGGTTCGTCAGGTTCAGGTCCAGGGTCAGGCGGGAGAGTGGGGGCCGATCCAGGGGACATAGGGGGCGTTGGCGGGAGAGCGGCAGCATGGCGGAGGACAAGGTCGAGGAGGGTGGAGGAGGTGTTGGGGATGTGGATGACGCCGAGGAGGCGGCGCATGCTCCCTGTGTAGGAGTACCAGTTGATAGCGCTCTGATCAGGAGCGAGCTCGAGCCGATCAATGGAGAGAGTGTTGAAATTCTGAGGAAGAGAAGGAGCAGCCATAGCAGTAAGTTAGTGCGATGTGAGGGGAGAAAAAATGTTAGTAGCGAGCGAAAGCGAGGCAGGTTAGAAGCTGAGGGAGAGGAGGAGGGGGGTTAGTAGCAGCACGTGGGAGAGGATTGGGAGCAGTAGCGTGGCAGGAGAGGCGGAGAACAGAGATAGTATGAGAGAGGCAGCGGGAGAGGAAACGGTGGGCGGAAGCAATGGGGGGGGGGGGGGGAAGGGTCGAGGGAGCGGCGGGGAGGAAGAGATGAGGCAGTAGCTAAGTGCCTGGCGGCGAGGGAGAGTAGGAGCAGCCGCGGCGAAGTGTCTTGCAGCGAGGAGAGGCAGTGGCGGCGGCAAATTGCCCGCAGCGAGTGAGTAGAGGCGGCGGAGGCGAAATGCCCCGCGGCGAGTGGGAGCAGTGGCGGCGGCGGCGAAATGCCCCGCGGCGAGTGGGAGCAGTGGCGGCGGCGGCGAAATGCCCCGCGGCGAGTGGAGTAGTGGCGGCGGAGGCGAAATGCCCCGCGGCGAGTGGGAGCAGTGGCGGCGGAGGCGAAATGCCCCGCGGCGAGTGGGAGCAGTGGCGGCGGCGGCGAAATGCCCCGCGGCGAGTGGGAGCAGAGGCGGCGGCGGCGAAATGCCCCGCGGCGAGTGGGAGCAGTGGCGGCGGCGGCGAAATGCCCCGCGGCGAGTGGAGTAGTGGCGGCGGAGGCGAAATGCCCCGCGGCGAGTGGGAGCAGTGGCGGCGGCGGCGAAATGCCCCGCGGCGAGTGGGAGCAGTGGCGGCGGCGGCGAAATGCCCCGCGGCGAGTGGGAACAGTGGCGGCGGCGGCGAAATGCCCCGCGTCGAGAGAAGCAGCGGCGGCGGCGGCGAAATGCCCCGCAAGGAAGAAAAGCGGTGCGAGAGTAGTGGCGACGGCGGATAGGTCGCGGCGATTGAGACGCCGGCAGCTGAGAACGTAAATGCGGCGGCAGGAGCTGAGGCGAGAAATTCGCCTTACGAGAGATAGAGTAGGAGCTGGAGGGAGGTGGTGACTGGTTGTACTTTACGGAAGATTGAACTTCAACCAAGTCAAACCCACGCAACAAGTTGCATGGGCAGGACGGAAGGGTCCTGACGAGCGGGGAGGAAAAAAAAACTTGAGAGAAAGAGGTCGAGAGGGGCGTTTGCCAATTGGCTCTGAATACCATGAGAGAATCTCAAGTGTTGTCTTGATTAGAAAGAGTGTGGGTACATATAGGAGATGAGAAGTTTTGGGAACAAAGTGGGGTACCCTCAGCATTTATTGGTGGACCAATCAGATTGGGTCGACCAACAATTGCTGGGGTAACCAACAATCGTTGGAGGGGACCATTATTGGGCCCCCCACCGTCAATTGCGGTCGAGTTGGGTTTGGGGGCGCCCAACCAAAATTGGTTGGGTCGCCTTGACCCAAAGTGTACACCCACTTTAGGGTGTAACACATGCACAAATATAAACATACATTATGCTATATTCTAACATTCTCCTCTTCATCGTGTACTTCTTTTTAATATCCTATCATTCACAGCTTCTGGGTTTCAAGGACCCCCGAACTCGCTTCTCGTTCATAGACTTGTCTTGCTTGCCCTGTTTGTCTTATCCTTTTCCCTGCTTCCGTTTCTGCTTGTGCAATGTGACGGCTGCTGCATGTGATTGTAGACAGCAGAGGAGGTAATGACCCCCATAGAGTCAACGTTCTCTCTAAGCGTCAACTCACGCCTCGACTGGTATGTGTGGGCTCCATGGGGTTCGTAGCAGGAACACAATGGGCCGCATCTTGGCCCGAAGAGTCGGAAAAGCGCATTCGCCATGTCTTGAACGTGCTTCTTCAGTCTTCCCCCTCCCCCCCGCCTCACCACGCTCCCCCTCCTCCTGCCTGGCAGGGACACGATGGGGCGCATTCTAGCGAGGGGGCACAGCCGGGTGCCGGTGTATCGGGGCCATCCCAGCAACATCATTGGCGTGCTGCTCACCAAGACGCTGCTACTGCGGTTGCACAGCCGACTCCTGACATGTCTGGGCAGGTCCCCCCTCCCCCACTTGGCCCCTTTCCCCAGCTGGTGTCTCAAGAACCTTGCTTGCCCCCTCCTTCTGGTGCTGTGTGCCTGGCAGGGACACGATGGGGCGTATCTTGGCGAGGGGGCACAGCAGGGTGCCGGTGTATCGCGGCTATCCCAGCAACATCGTTGGCGTGCTGCTCACCAAGACGCTGCTACTGCGGTTGCACAGCCGACTCCTGACATGTCTGGGCAGGTCCCCCCTCCCCCACTTGGCCCCTTTCCCCAGCTGGTGTCTCAAGAACCTTGCTTGCCCCCTCCTTCTGGTGCTGTGTGCCTGGCAGGGACACGATGGGGCGTATCTTGGCGAGGGGGCACAGCAGGGTGCCGGTGTATCGCGGCTATCCCAGCAACATCGTTGGCGTGCTTCTCACCAAGACGCTGCTACTGCGGTTGCACAGCCGACTCCTGACATGTCTGGGCAGGTCCCCCCTCCCCCACTTGGCCCCTTTCCCCAGCTGGTGTCTCAAGAACCTTGCTTGCCCCCTCCTTCTGGTGCTGTGTGCCTGGCAGGGACACGATGGGGCGTATCTTGGCGAGGGGGCACAGCAGGGTGCCGGTGTATCGGGGCCATCCCAGCAACATCGTTGGCGTGCTGCTCACCAAGACCCTGCTCACCGTTCGCCCCGAGGACGAGACCCCCGTCTCCTCCATCTCCATCCGCCGCGTCCCCAGGTAGGCCTTTTGAGGCACCTCAAACATAATCCCAGCAACATTGTTGGAGTGCTGCTCACCAAGACGCTGCTCACCGTGCCCCCCGAAGACGAGACCCCTGTCTCCTCCATCTCCATCCGCCGCGTCCCCAGGTGGGCGACTATTTTCAGATGTCTTTCGCCTTTAGAGAGGACCTCCACCGGAAAAAAAAAAAAAAAAAAAAAAAAACAACAACAACAACACACACACAAAAACTCAGCTCCCCCTCTCTCCTTCTTTTCGCATTTCCAGGATGGCAGCGAGCTTGCCGCTGTACAGTGTGCTGAACGAGTTCCAGAAGGGCAGCTGCCACATGGCCGTGGTCGTCAAGAAGAAGACTCCGCCCCCTCCCACCCACACTTCCCTTGCTGCTGCTGCCGCCGCCGCTGCTGCCGCTGCTGGTGCTGCTGCTGCTGGTGGCAGTGGCATGGGGGGAGTGCAAGGGGGTGCAGCGGGGCAGGCAGATGTGCTGACGATAAGCATGCCCACGAGCACATCGGAGTCCTCCCAGCACGCGCTCTTCAACGATCCCACCTACTGCGAGACGCACAGCCAGGGGGGCGACAGCCGCCGCACCTCCGAAGACCTGCACGAACATTCCTATGCCTATGGGGGCGGGGGTGGAGCGGGTGGCTATGGGGGTGGGTACGGCTATGGGAGTGGGAATGGGTATGGGTATGGGAGTGAGACTGGTAGTGGACGGAGACAGGGCAATTACCAGCAGGAGCCTAGGACTCCTCCCCCTCAGGGGCAAGCACAAGGCACTGTGTTCCGAGGAGCTTCCACTGGAGATTCGCCTCTGCAACGGTCCCTCACTCCCCCTCCTGGTCATTACCATCAGCATCCGAATGAGTATCAGCATCAGCAGCAGCAGCATTATCGGTTTGAGCGCCCCAGAACGCCCCCGCCAGTGCTGCTGGCGGCAGAGACAGCTGCTCTGGCGACTGGAGGGTCCTCTGCTGCTGCTGCGTTCGCTGCTGCTGCTGCCAGTGCGGGATTCGAGCACACACATGGGGGCGCCGGTGCTCCTGGTGCTGGTGCTGGGTTTGAGCATACCCATGCGCCTGCTGTGGCAGAGGCAGGGTTGGGACAAATCCACATGGAGGCACATGCACCCAAGCGTGTGCAGTGGCAGGAGCGCCCAGACATGCCCCGTGCAAGCATGTCTGTGGGCTCTGTATTAGGCACACATGCAGCGGGGGGAGCAGGAGCGGCAGCAGGAGGGGCAGCAGGGGGGGCAGCAGGAGGGGCAGTATGGGGAGCAGCAGGAGGGGGGCCAGGGGTTGCAGCAGCGGGGGGAGCGGGGGAGGAGGAGAGTATAGACGTGGTGTATACAACGAAGGAGAGGAAGGCGAGGGCAGGGAGGAGAGAGGGCCATGGGGTGGGTGGGAGAGCGGAGGGGCAGCGGAGGGAGCAGGAGAGGGAAGGAGCAGGAGGGGGGTGGAGGTGGGAGAGGAGGGATGAGACGGAGGAGGTGGTGGGGATTATCACACTGGAAGACGTGATAGAGGAGCTGCTACAGGTGCGTTGGATAGAGGAGCTGCTACAGGTGCGTTGGATAGAGGAGCTGCTACAGGTGCGTTGGATAGAGGAGCTGCTACAGGTGCGTTGGATAGAGGAGCTGCTACAGGTGCGTTGGATAGAGGAGCTGCTACAGGTGCGTTGGATAGAGGAGCTGCTACAGGTGCGTTGGCTAGAGGAGCTGCTACAGGTGCGTTGGCTAGAGGAGCTGCTACAGGTGCGTTGGCTAGAAGAGCTGCTACAGGTGCGTTGGATAGAGGAGCTGCTACAGGTGCGTTGGCTAGAGGAGCTGCTACAGGTGCGTTGGATAGAGGAGCTGCTACAGGTGCGTTGGCTAGAGGAGCTGCTACAGGTGCGTTGGCTAGAGGAGCTGCTACAGGTGCGTTGGCTAGAGGAGCTGCTACAGGGGCGTTGGATAGAGGAGCTGCTACAGGTGCGTTGGCTAGAGGAGCTGCTACAGGTGCGTTGGCTAGAGGAGCTGCTACAGGTGCGTTGGCTAGAGGAGCTGCTACAGGTGCGTTGGCTAGAGGAGCTGCTACAGGTGCGTTGGCTAGAGGAGCTGCTACAGGTGCGTTGGCTAGAGGAGCTGCTACAGGTGCGTTGGATAGAGGAGCTGCTACAGGTGCGTTGGCTAGAGGAGCTGCTACAGGTGCGTTGGATAGAGGAGCTGCTACAGGTGCGTTGGCTAGAGGAGCTGCTACAGGTGCGTTGGCTAGAGGAGCTGCTACAGGTGCGTTGGCTAGAGGAGCTGCTACAGGGGCGTTGGATAGAGGAGCTGCTACAGGTGCGTTGGCTAGAGGAGCTGCTACAGGTGCGTTGGATAGAGGAGCTGCTACAGGTGCGTTGGCTAGAGGAGCTGCTACAGGTGCGTTGGCTAGAGGAGCTGCTACAGGTGCGTTGGCTAGAGGAGCTGCTACAGGTGCGTTGGCTAGAGGAGCTGCTACAGGTGCGTTGGCTAGAGGAGCTGCTACAGGTGCGTTGGCTAGAGGAGCTGCTACAGGTGCGTTGGATAGAGGAGCTGCTACAGGTGCGTTGGCTAGAGGAGCTGCTACAGGTGCGTTGGCTAGAGGAGCTGCTACAGGTGCGTTGGATAGAGGAGCTGCTACAGGTGCGTTGGCTAGAGGAGCTGCTACAGGTGCGTTGGCTAGAGGAGCTGCTACAGGTGCGTTGGCTAGAGGAGCTGCTACAGGTGCGTTGGATAGAGGAGCTGCTACAGGTGCGTTGGCTAGAGGAGCTGCTACAGGTGCGTTGGCTAGAGGAGCTGCTACAGGTGCGTTGGATAGAGGAGCTGCTACAGGTGCGTTGGCTAGAGGAGCTGCTACAGGTGCGTTGGATAGAGGAGCTGCTACAGGTGCGTTGGCTAGAGGAGCTGCTACAGGTGCGTTGGCTAGAGGAGCTGCTACAGGTGCGTTGGCTAGAGGAGCTGCTACAGGTGCGTTGGCTAGAGGAGCTGCTACAGGTGCGTTGGCTAGAGGAGCTGCTACAGGTGCGTTGGATAGAGGAGCTGCTACAGGTGCGTTGGCTAGAGGAGCTGCTACAGGTGCGTTGGCTAGAGGAGCTGCTACAGGTGCGTTGGCTAGAGGAGCTGCTACAGGTGCGTTGGATAGAGGAGCTGCTACAGGTGCGTTGGCTAGAGGAGCTGCTACAGGTGCGTTGGCTAGAGGAGCTGCTACAGGTGCGTTGGATTTTCAGAACTGCAATTGCGTTGGTCTCTTACAAGTGCATGTGTGTTGGTTCCTTGCATGATGTCGTGTGCGATGAGAAGGCTATTGATAAAAGTGTAGTTTTGAGTCGTCTCAAAAGATTGCCACTTGATAAAAGTGTAGTTTTGAGACGTCTCAAAACTACACTTTTATCAGGTGTGTTGGTTCCTCGCATGATGTCGTGTGCGATGAGAAGGCCATTGAGCCCCCCATCTATTGCTCGCTCCCCTGTACAACACCTATCATTGTGCTGCTATCAAAAGTACAACACCTATCGTTGTGCTGCTATCAAAAGTACAACACCTATCGTTGTGCTGCTATCAAAAGTACAACACCTATCGTTGTGCTGCTATCAAAAGTACAACACCTATCGTTGTGCTGCTATCAAAAGTACAACACCTATCGTTGTGCTGCTATCAAAAGTACAACACCTATCGTTGTGCTGCTATCAAAAGTACAACACCTATCGTTGTGCTGCTATCAAAAGTACAACACCTATCGTTGTGCTGCTATCAAAAGTACAACACCTATCGTTGTGCTGCTATCAAAAGTACAACACCTATCGTTGTGCTGCTATCAAAAGTACAACACCTATCGTTGTGCTGCTATCAAAAGTACAACACCTATCGTTGTGCTGCTATCAAAAGTACAACACCTATCGTTGTGCTGCTATCAAAAGTACAACACCTATCGTTGTGCTGCTATCAAAAGTACAACACCTATCGTTGTGCTGCTATCAAAAGTACAACACCTCTCGTTGTGCTGCTATCAAAAGTACAACACCTATCGTTGTGCTGCTATCAAAAGTACAACACCTATCGTTGTGCTGCTATCAAAAGTACAACACCTCTCGTTGTGCTGCTATCAAAAGTACAACACCTATCGTTGTGCTGCTATCAAAAGTACAACACCTATCGTTGTGCTGCTATCAAAAGTACAACACCTATCGTTGTGCTGCTATCAAAAGTACAACACCTATCGTTGTGCTGCTATCAAAAGTACAACACCTATCGTTGTGCTGCTATCAAAAGTACAACACCTATCGTTGTGCTGCTATCAAAAGTACAACACCTCTCGTTGTGCTGCTATCAAAAGTACAACACCTATCGTTGTGCTACTATCAAAAGTACAACACCTATCGTTGTGCTGCTATCAAAAGTACAACACCTATCGTTGTGCTGCTATCAAAAGTACAACACCTATCGTTGTGCTGCTATCAAAAGTACAACACCTATCGTTGTGCTGCTATCAAAAGTACAACACCTATCGTTGTGCTGCTATCAAAAGTACAACACCTATCGTTGTGCTGCTATCAAAAGTACAACACCTATCGTTGTGCTGCTATCAAAAGTACAACACCTATCGTTGTGCTGCTATCAAAAGTACAACACCTATCGTTGTGCTGCTATCAAAAGTACAACACCTATCGTTGTGCTGCTATCAAAAGTACAACACCTATCGTTGTGCTCCTTCCTCCTTGGTGGTCCCACAGGAGGAGATAGTGGATGAGACCGATGAGTACATTGACGTGCACCGACGGTAGGCTGCATGCTCACTCACTCACTCACTCACTCACTCACTCACTCACTCACTCACTCAATCAATCACTCATTCATCGACGCACTCACTCACTCACTCACTCACCTCATACACTCACTCACTCACTCACTCACTCACCTCATACACTCACTCACTCACGCACGGACCTGCCGAGCCGCGCGTCGTCACTGCAGCCCGTACGAGCTGCCCTTGCAGCCCGCGCGGCGCCCCTGCAGCCCGCGCGTCGCCCCTGCAGCCCGCACACCGCCCCTGGAGCCCGTGCGTCCTGCCCCTGCAGCCCGCGCACCGCTCTGCCGAGCCGCGCCGCCCAGCCCGAGCCGCGCCGCCCACGCCAACCCGAGCCGCCCTGCTGCTCGGTCTACTGCTGGTGCTGCTGCTGCTGCTCGGTCTGCTGCTGCTGCCCGAGCCGCCTTGCTACTGCTCCTGCTCGGTCTACTGCTGCTGCTGGAGGGAGTACTGCTGGGAGTGGTGGAGGTGCGGCCTCCCAACCCCATCGAACCGCCCTGCTGCTGTTACTACTGCTGCTGCTGCTACTCGTGCTACTGGGAGTGGAGGAGGTGCTGCTGGGAGTGCAGGAGGTGCTGCTGGCGCTGTAGGAGCTGGAGGTGCTGGACCTACTCCTGGCCGTCACTGTCTGTCATGGCCACTTCCGCGGCAGTTGCTGCGGCCAGGGGTGGACAGCAGCGGGCACTGCTTCTCCCGGACGACCCCACCCCTCGGCAGCTTCGTGAGTGGGTTATTCAGCGAGGTCGTCCTGGTGGTGGAGGTTATCGTTCAGTTAGGCCTACTGCTCTTGGTGTTAGTGAGTCTGCTGCCACTCCAGGTGTTAGTGAGTCTGCTGCCACTCCAGGTGCTAGTGAGTCTGCTGCCGCTCCAGGTGCTAGTGAGTCTGCTGCAGCTCTAGGTGCCCGTGAGTCTACCGACGCTCTAGGTGCTAGTGCGTCTACTACCACAGGTCCTGCCTCAGCTGAGGTCTTGCACACTTTCACGCTTGACTCAGGCGCGTCACGTTGCATCTTCCGTGATTGCACCACAGTCACACCACTCACAGCACCTGTCCCAGTCTCACTGGCTGACCCCTCTGGGGGCCCAGTGGTTGCGAGAGCCTCCACGGACCTCCCTTGTCCAGCAGTCCCCTCCGGCTCTTTGTCAGGTCTCCACCTCCCCACGTTCTCGACGAACTTGGTGAGCAACGCTGCCATTCAGGATGTCTGGGTTGATACCTTTATTCCTGGAGGGCAGCGTGTGGCGATCTGTACGTGCTCCCGGACTGGCCGTCACCTGGGTCTAGTCTGTACACACTGACCACTGCGTCTGCACAGGTGGCTGAGTCAGGTCAGGTAGCTGCGTCGAGTCGAGCGTCTGCGTCAGGGCAGTTAGCTGCGTCTTGCTCGTGCAGAGTACTCACGCACGAGACTCAGCGCTGGCACCACCGTCTTGGTCACCCCTCCCTGCAGCGTCTGCGCGGCATGCACTCCCGGCTCCTGGTCTCTGGCCTCCCTGAGACCCTACCCCCCCTCCCGCGCTCACTTGCGCCG